TTTCTGGCTTTGGCTTGATCCTACGCGTACGTTGACCTTCAAGGCCGCTAACTAATTCGGCCAACAGGTCTTCCTTGTGAAGTTCGTCAAGATAGGGAAGTGCAGAGGGATAATTGGCAAATGTAGGCATATGGAGAGAAGAAAGTGTGAAGAAAACAAAAAGGTAAAGGGCAGAAAAAGGACCTAATGGGACTATAGGTTTAATGCTTTATTTCTCAGCCTCAAGTCAGCTGCGGCACTAGAATTAGAGCTTGTGGTACAAAGTGCCACAGCCATGCCATAATTTACTTTTTGTTCAATGTTTCCGGAAAGCAATGTCGCATTTTGTGATGCTTATAATACAACTTATACATAAATACGACAAGTTAGAACGACATTTATTTATGGAAATAATGTATGGATGTAAACTTCATTTTATCAATAAAAATGTATATGATATTACTTGGATTACCAAAAGCTCACAAAGTAATAAACTATCGTCTACCCAAGACATGAGGATGGTTGTTAAGAGCAACCAAGGTGATTCATCGAAAATACAGTGCTAGGTATACTTCCATAAGGTGGTCACGCTGAAACGAAGAAGGCATAGGCCATGAGAATAATAAGAGACACACTTATCGGGCATGGCTAGCTACCCTCCGCTAATAGATCTATCAACGGCCATAACACTTTGTACAATGAATCGGATTCATGAATACGACATCCTTTAAAAGACTTACCACATTAACCAGCTTTCGGATGTTATGAAGAGGTAGAGACTGGTTAGATTACATTGGTGACTTTGAACGCGAAAGAAATGATCAAGAATTGAGTTGATGACTTTTCGAAATTTATGCTTACAACAAGTCAAGCTTCTCGTTCTGAACGAATCAGTGTAAGTTTATTTGAGCTTACAGAAGTCGCTGATAGATTAATAGACTCTAAAAGTCTTCTGCTGATCATCTCGCTATCTACGTTCTAAAAAAAATCGCAGATAAAAAACTAGCTGACGTGCTGCTCCACTTGCAGAAACCAAAAGAATATCATTATAGACATGAAATTCATTGAAATTCTCAAATTCCAAATAAAACAGTAAAGAGCCATACTTGAATATGTGCCTTCTACCTGCTTGATTCCTTCTTACTGATGATTAAAAAGTGTTAAATCATGTACTAATTGATTAGAAACAAGACTAAGCAGTGTATTTATGCTTATATAACTTTCTGTATCAAATGTTATTTATAAGCTATTTGTGTCGACAGCTCTACCGGCAAATAGCAAGTATTTCAGTGCTGTAAAAGTCGCTTTAAGAAGCTCAATGGCCTATCAATGTCCTTGCAAACAATCAAGTACATTTTCAAAATAGTGTATGTATTAATAGCTGATTTTGATGCACCGCTTTATTCAGTTTGGTTAGTGCCAATATTACCCACAGCTACCCTCGGCAGTTTACTAAATATACATATTTGTTAACAACAAGTAAATAGTATAGAAATCAAACATTGAACATGAAGTGGACGTAATTACTCCATCGTAATAGTTTTTATGTTTCAACCTACTAATATATTGCTGTGGCACTTTGTATCACGATCTCTAGTGCCGCAGCTGACTTGAGGCTGAGAAATAAAGCATTAAAGCTTAAAGAAAGCTCTTGTTCTTTACCTTTTTTGTTTTCTTCACACTTTCTTCTCTCCATATGCCTACATTTGCCAATTATCCCTCTGCACTTCCCTATCTTGACGAACTTCACAAGGAAGACCTGTTGGCCGAATTAGTTAGCGGCCTTGAAGGTCAACGTACGCGTAGGATCAAGCCAAAGCCAGAAAGCACAAGCAATCCATTCATAAACTCTATAAACCATGCTGCCAAACTCAACCTTATTCAAGAAGACAACGTTACATACTTTTCCACTAGTGACCCTTGTTTGGATCTTTATTATGCATCCTATAGAGTATCCGACGACCGAGACTTACGGCGTATGCTTGAGGCTGCATGGGCGGCCGATGTCGACTTGACGTTACACATCATTTTCTATATTCGGTCTATTCACCGTGGACAGAGTTTGACAGCGCCGTTCATGAGTGCCTTCAGTTGGTTGCTTCAGTATCACCCACGTACAGCTCTGGCTAACCTGCATGTGCTTGTGGATGGAACAGTACGCACGGACGCTGCGCTCAAGGCACAGCAGAGAGAAGAGTATTTCAGGATCAAGGCAGAGAAAGAAGGCAGAGAGTACAAGAGACGAGACTATGGAGAGCTGTTAGAGAGACGAGACTTCAAGAGTCATGGATGTTGGAAGGATCTCTGCACTATCCTTACAATCTATGCTCAAGGTGAGCTTCGGGGTCCTTCTGATAATGAGTACAAGGCACTCAAATGGCCACGAACAGCTCCACAATATACATATGCAATTAATGAACGCAAAGAGCGTAATCGTAGGCGCAAAGAAGAGATGACTCGCGAAGAAGCAAAGAAGGATGCAGAAACCTATATCAAGAAAGGAGCCGAACACAATGCAAAAGCCCAGGCTAAAGCAAAAGAAGCTAAAGCAAATACACGTAGAGAGAGAAACGAACGCGTTACTAAACTATTACAAGCTGATCCTGTCTACCGAGCACTTCATTTTACCATTGCAAGAATGTTCGCCAACCAACTCAAGACCGACATGGCTCAACTTCAAAGGAACAAAGACGCTATTGAGCAAGGTGTGCTGAAGGGACGACACGCTTTAGGGTTCAATCTTAGTTTAGCAGGAAAATGGGCGCCTTCTCTGTGCCGATCTCATGACAAACATACTTTCCTGGCCACTTCTATTGCCGAGCTCTTGTTTCCTCCCGAAAAACACCAAGACGATGGCGAGACTCGCGAACACTACCTTAACAAGGTTAGAGACCTATACCGCAAACAATACCTGACTCCTCTCCGTGATGCGTTGGATATAGTTGAACACTACAAAGCTGAAGGCAAATGGAAGAAGATTGATTTTACACATGTTCCAGCGATATGCTTGAAACACAACTGGGCACGATTTTACAAGCACGCACCTTATGCCGTAACATCCTTTTTGAATGGATCCCCATTATATGTAAAAAAAGCTAAAAGTGAGAAACGTACAACCTTTTCATCCAACGCCTTACCAAGGAGAATAAAGATTAAAGGTGAAACAATGCTTCCTGAAGACTATTTGGCCAATTTCTCCGATCATGATGTTCCTAAAACATTACAACCAATAGCCAAGTTTACTTGCGATGCTAAACAAAAAATCTTGGATATCCAAACAGAAATCACCAACAGACAATGGGAACATTTGATTGAAAGTTTTCGCAAGACTTCTCTGTTGAATTCCCGCAAGTCAAGTAATACAATCGATCTTGGCGAATGCATTGTAGTCTGCAACTTAAAAGACACCATGTGGTATGAAAGCTCTTCAAATTTCGTTCACCGTGGTGTCGCCCTTTCCTTGATCATTGCCAACCTTGCAAAGCCTCCTTTTGATGGGTCTATCATCGCTTATTCCAATGGACCTACCGTCTTCAAGTTGGATACATCGCTTCCTTTTGATGAACAAGTTCGTCAGGTCATGCAGAGAGTGAATGATCCCAATGAATTTGATACTAAAAGTGTATTCACTGACGTCATACTCCCACTTGCTGTCAAACACGAAGTCAAGCCTGAAGATATGATCAAACGAGTTTTTATTATTACGGACAAGAACTTCAATTTTGGTGAAACTGAAGCTAAAAAGTTCGAAACCGCCTTTGATCTTATCCGTCGCAGGTACCATGAGGCTGGCTATGAGGTCCCTGAAATGGTCTGGTGGAATATTTCTGGCCGTGGTTGTTCCTCAATGTATAATCTGGATGCACCTGTAAAGAAGGACGATGTTGGTGTCAAGATGCTTGCTGGTCATTCTGCAAATATACTCAAGACATTCCTTGATGGTGATGATATAGATGAGGATACGGCTAAGCAAGAGACTCCATTGGATTTTGCCAGAAAAGCAGTGTATCATGAAAGCTTTAAGGATCTTGTTGTTGTAGATTAACCAAATAATAAACAATATACCATGTTGCATTATTCATACTATCTTAAGTAAATCCTGAGCTACAAGTGCAAGAGGCATACTATAGGCATAAAGCTACATTGTTTTGGAAACTGTATGTCGCTTTTTTATTTTATTATTTACAAGTTGCTCAATAGACAATTTTTGATCAATATATATACCACGTCTTATAATGAACACTGTTATAGTGATCAATGATCATTGTCAGACGCATTTCCCAGCTCCTCATGCTTCCGATAGGTTTCATTACTTGTATAATTATATTCTTCTTCTCTTTTTGCCTCCTTCTGAGCCTAGAATGAACAAAGTTAGTTCCCAATTCGTTTTCTGTTATGCCAGCGTTTACCTTCAATTGTTTAAGTGCCCTCGCCCTATAAAACTCTGAGCATTTGTGTTGTTTGGTATATTCTGCAGTTTTACAAAATCTACAAGGGTTCTTTAGACGCTTACTCGTGTTTGGCGATGTCTCTTCGGCTGGACTCAATCTCAGTCTTTTTTCTGTTCTTGTATCATTTGATTCTTGGTATCCTTTTCTCTTTTGTGATCTGTGAGCTTTTTCTAATTGGACCAGTCGATTAATGTTTTGATGCATGGTTGGCCAAAGCAACTTTAATTTGGCTACATAGGTTGAATATGTGTCTTCCTCTCGTATTAAATCAACAGGCTTTATATCTAATCTTTCATAAGTTGTCACTACCCGCTCTTGTACGACAGCCATCACAACATCACACAGTGACTGATGAAATACCATGGCCAGAAACCTAGTGTCTTCTAGTCCGGCGTTTCGACATAATTGAGTGAATCTGTTTATGTAATTGGGTAGAGTTTCGCCTAAATTTTGGCGACAATTGTACACCTGTAATAGCTTTTCAGCGCTTATATATGTCTTTCTTGCTGATTCTTCAGGCGCAAGCAAACTAACAGTATGATCTGTAGTAGTAACAGTAGGAGTAGAAGGAGCAGTCGTGAAAGGATCAGAACTGGGAGGGTCAGAGGCGGGATTGGATATACTAGTCGTCGGTTCTGGCTTGGGTTGCTCGTGTCTTTCAGTTTGACACTCTGTGTGATCTTCCTTTGTTTCATTATTTGATTCACAAGGTAAGCTTTGACTAAAGCTTGTCGTTTCATTCTTCAAGTTATCTTCGAATGATGAGATAAAGTCTCTGACTGTTGGCCACTTGTCTTCTATTTTCGGATAAGTTGCTTCACTTGTAGAGGGCGGCCTTACATCACCCGTAGCAGCAATAGTAATAGTAGCAGTAGTAGCAGTAGTAGTAGTAGTAGTAGTAGTAGTAGTAGTCGTGGCAGGATTGGTCCTATCAGAAATGACATGTACGTTCTTTGTAGTAGTAGGTTTATCTGCTTGCTTCATGCTATGTGAGCCAGGATTATATCTTCTTTCTCTCCTACGAGCATTTTCCTCCTCTTCTCTCATTCCTACTTCGAGCGAATCAATAAGCTTATGCAAAACTGTGATGTGATCACGAGTAGTGTTGATGACGGAATGATCTTTACAGTCTTTGATTGTATTACGCAAGTCGTTGATCTTTCTTTGAACCAGTTTAATTTTGTCACGATATGAGATATTTTTTTGATCTTCTAAGGGCGATGATTTGTTGCCATGTCTAGGAGAATGTTGTCGAGATGTAGTATCTGAGCTAGATGATCTATAGTTTCTGCCATCGTATCTGTCCGATGGATATTGTAATCTATATCTGTCTCTGGGATCTATGCGGCTATGAGTCATGTTGGGTAACTCAGATCTATTGTTATTAGGGCTACTTGAGCTATGATTGCTATCTTTGCTGGTCGAGATCATTGGATTAATAGAAATAAAAAGATAAAGAAATTCAAAGCTGAAATTTATCCTTTTTTAATTGCCCTGTAAAATAAAGAAAAACAAACAAACAGGGAGAAACTAAGGATAATGAAATCGACATAGTGAATTTAATGAATTTAATATCTACTAAATCCGTGTAAAGAATCAAATCTATATAAAGTATGCATATTTTAACCCTAATTCATTCTACACTTTGTGTCATCTCATCTCACCAAGAAAACAAACTGAGTCACATACAAAAAAAAAACAGATGATTTACAAAACCCACGTGAAAAGCTTTTTATATACATATGCACAAATTACACGCCTTCTTGTTGTCTTCTATAAGCGATGATATCCTTGATAGTAATCATCTTGATGTTGTGCTTTTTAGCAAATGCAAAACAGTCATCTCTTCTTGCCATAGTTCCTTGTGCGTCATCATTCACAATCTCTCCAATACATGCTACAGGATAGATTCCTGCTAGTTTACAAAGATCCACTGCAGCTTCTGTATGTCCAAATCGTTGAAATGTACCACCAGGGACTGAGCGAAGTGGAAGTATATGTCCAGGACGCATAAAATCTTCGGGTTTACTTGATGGATCCGCTAATTTGCGTGCTGTCAAGGCTCTATCATGGGCAGAGATACCTGTTGTTGTTCCATGAGCATAATCACAAGAGATTGTATAAGCAGTTCTCATCAGTTCAGTATTCTTTTCGACCATCAAGGGTAATTCAAGTTCATCTAGACGTTCACCTGTTGTTGGGACACATATATAACCACTTGAAAAAAAAGGATCTAAGTACATTAAACATGATAGACATCATGAATAGAATTACCTCGAATGACGTATTAAAAAGGCCATTTGTTCTGTAGTAATATTTTGAGCAGCAATAATCAAATCTCCTTCGTTCTCTCTATCTTCATTATCCATAACAATAACAAACTTATTGTTGGCTAAAGTCTATTAATACTACTGTTGACTCTATTTACTAATACATACCAAAGTCTTTGATAGCCTCTTCAACAGGATCGAATTCAGGTATTAATGCTTTTGTTTGACTATCAACCATGCTGTTTGTGTGTATATGTGTCAAATACTCTTTTTTAAAAAAAGGAAAAAAGAAAGATTTATAAATCATTAGAAATTGCGGGGATCATCATCATTCGGACTTGAAAAGATGACTAAGGGATATTCATGTCAAGGAAAGTGAAAAAGCTTAACTCTATTTTCACACTTTATAATCATTCAATCCGTGGGGATTTTCTCTCTCTTTTTATTGAAAAATACATATGATTTCAATTTACATCAATTGAAGAAATTACATTTTAATATTATACATTTTACTATAATAATAAAAGAAAGCTCGGTTTATTAGTCATCCTTTACAAATCATGACCCAGCTGAAAATTGTGTATTATTCACCCCCCCCCCCACTTGCTCTTCCTTAAACCTAATAAGCTTAACTGTCATTGTGGAATAAAGCAGAGGAGTATGCCAAAAATTAATTTTTCTCTTTTTCTTTTTTTGATAAATTTATATGGAGACTATTGATGTTGACAACACTTGGTCATTATACAAGAAACTTTATTTAACACTAGACAGCACACAACTACTCAGTCCACTTGACTTATCGATAGACACTTCTAAAGATAATGCTAATCTATTCACTATCAATAACGAAAAACGTCCAAACTCTTCATCAATTGCTTGTCTTGAAGAGTTACAAACAAGATCAAAACGAATGAAGAGATTTGAAGAATCTGCTTCCGAAGAAAAGAAAGCACGACTGTTGACACGTTTAGATGTCCCTTTGAACGATTATTTCAAAAGTCGACTAAAATATCACCAGGTTTGATTGAACTCGAGATATGTATAGTTTATTTTAATAATGATAGTAGCTTGAAGGTGTAGAGTTTATGTGGAAACGTGTTTATAAAAAGAAAGCAGGATGCTTATTATCTCATGCAATGGGGCTCGGAAAGACTATTCAAACAATTGCCTTGTTAACTACACTTTATGAACATCTCCATAAATATCCAGAAGTCGCCTATCCAACAGTAAAAAAAGTCCTTTAAAAATGCTAGCATACATACTCACATACTATTAGGGAAAGAGAGTACTCATATTAGCTCCATTGATAACATTATCAAACTGGGTAAATGAGTTTCGAAAATGGCATGTGGATGGTTTCTCTGCTAATCTAGGACAGGTATTTAACTTTGGAGGTAAAACAAGCAAAATACACCCATCCTTACGTGTGTGTTCTAATTTTTTAAAAGAAATGACACCCGAGAGTAGAAATAAGCGAATCATCTACTTGAAATACTGGTATACAAACGGTGGTGTGATGCTGATGAACTATGACCAGTTGAGATACTTGCTTATGCGTTCATCAAGAGAAGATGACGAATATTATCGATACTTGATCAATCCTGGTCCAGATGTTGTCGTGTTGGATGAGGGACATCGTATCAGAAATGCAGGATCACAGCTTTACAAGATCGTATCCGAATTTCGAACACTTGCAAGAATCTGTTTGACAGGGTATCCTTTGCAAAATCATCTTTTGGAATATTATCACATGCTGGAATTTGTTGCTCCAGGCATTCTCGGTCCACAAGAGACATTCAAGGCTTATTTTACATTTTATATAGAAAGATCCTATGCTAATTCTCTTCCATCGATCAAGCAAAAGGCAGCCATTAGACTCTATACACTTCAACTCCTAACAGAGGAAGTGACACACAGGTAAGATTAATCAAATAAAAGGTGATGCTCTGTATTCACTTTTTGGATAGACGTGATGCGCTGACACTTCAAGAAGCTTTACCTTTCAAAACGGAATTTGCAATTACATTTAAAATGACTGATATTCAATATGAAGGATATGTCAACGCATTAAAATCTATCGAACGTGAATCGTCTGTGATTAGCAATCTGCTATTGCTTCGTACGATCTGTAATCATCCAAAAATTCTTCAAAAGGTAAAATACTCTTTTCAATATGATAAAACTGATTTTTTTGTATAGCTTTTGAGTAATAGAGAAAGCAAGAGGAGAGAACAATTTTATATAAATAACAATGATAATTCTGATACGACCTATATGGATGACCAGTCCGTAGAAGAAGCTGCAGATGAAGTCGTAACCCCTGCAGTGCCAGGAGAGGTAGAAGAAGAAGAACTTATTGGTTTGGACATGAATATGTTTGACTGGGCGACTGATTACTTTAAAAATGATAGTAAATACACATTGTTTAAAAAAGTGCGCTTCTTAATAATGCATCGAATAGGTATTGAGAACTGGAATTGCTCCAACAAGATGACTTTTATTGTTGATCTCGCTACTGAATGTAGTGTTATTAAAGAAAAGATCATTATCGTATCGCATAGTTTAGCATGCCATGGTATAAGCAATGATTGTTACCATTAACTCATGACCTAACCTGTACTCCTTGTAGACTATCTGCAGCATCTATTCTCTGTTCTGGGCATTGGCACCCTTCGGATTGATGGCAACACTCCACTCAAGGTAAGTTATTTGTTTTTTTTTTGAGAAATACCTATTTAAACATGCACACAAGTTACGACAAGCGATCCTTGACGATTTTGAATCTGATGAAAACAAGCTTATTATGTTACTTTCAGCAAAGGTAAGCATAAAAAAATCCCATTTTGATTCTATGTGTAACACTTGTTTAGGCTGCTGCTATTGGTATTAATGTGACAAGCGCAAATCGCATCGTCTTGATTGATCAAGACTGGAATCCATTGTATGACGAGCAGAGTATTGGCAGAATCTACCGATATGGCCAGTTGAAGCCTGTGACTGTATATCGTCTGGTGACAGCATCGACTATAGAAGAACGCATTTTTGCGCAGAGTGTACATAAGAAGAGTATATCAAGGTAAGAATGGATCACATATAAACTTAAACTCATTTTATTTCATGGATAGACGACTGATTGATAATAAGGCATCCATGACTATATCCAAAGAAGAATTAAAGGAATATTACATTCAGCCTTCTTTGGATCTACCTGCTATCGATATAAACAAGGTCCGAAAAGAGCTCAATCCAGACTTTATTACCTACAGTGCGCTCTTGAAGATCAAGGATCACATTACGGACTTTAAGCTGCATGATATGGATAATGTAGAAGAATACGATCCTTATGTTAGACTATCAGCACCTCAACGAAGAGAGGCTGTCTCTGAAGCATCTCGTCTGCTTAAAGAATGGAAACGACAACGACGTGGATAATTATCTGTTTGTGTACATATATCCATATATATATATATAGTGTAAATAGTTTCTCTTTTGTATAATTGCTGTTAAAAGAGAGTGTTATCTCTCTCTCTGATCGTCTAATTTATTTAAATAAAATATATCTTTTAATTGTATGTTATCATAAAAGAGAGCGATGGACTAGGTACACCCCACAACACTTTAGTAAAAATCTGCTCTTCAAAAGGTCGTTTCTCTCTTTCTTTATTATAATTACATCCATGTCATCTCAAGAAGAACCAACTGCAGATCAAGACTTTGGAGATTTATTTGGTTCAGAAGAAGAAGCCTCTGATATTGATGATGGACGCTCAAATTCACCGCAGCCCAATCATTCAACTACTCAAGATAATTTATTTGGAAGTGATGAAGAATCAGAACCAGAATCACGGCAAAATCTAAACAGGCATGTGTCTTTACAAATGAACTTTTTTACGCGTTTAATAAACTAAAGTTTTTTTTGAAGATCACTTGATGAAGAACAAGAAGAACAAGTAGAAGAAGAACAGAGTGATGAAGATTCAAGATATCCTGAATACAGTAGTCAACATAGAAAAAAGGAAATTGTTGAAGTTGCACTACAGATGCCTCAGCTACCACTACCTTATGGTGATAATCATAAAGTAAAAAAACGCACTCTATTCATCACATTTAAAACATATCTGATACGATTTTTTTTTTAAAAAAAAAAGTATTACTTGGCAAAGTTACCTCGTTTCTTGGATTATGAAGTCGACCCTTTTGTCCCTGAAGAATTCCAAGTCAAGGTAGAAGAAGGACTGACACCTGCGCAGGAACAAGAAGCAATTCGTGAACAAGTAGAAAGCACGATACGATGGCGTCGTACGATGAATAAAGAAGGCGAACAAGTAAAGTGTGCAGCTTGACTAAGAGACTTAACTCATTTTTCTCTCTTTAGACACTACAATCCAATGCACACCTAGTCGAATGGGAAGACGGTAAGGTATCGTTGATGCTCGGAGACGAATGTTTTGATGTGGGTTCAAAGCCAGTGGTCCCAGAAGAACACGTCTTTTTACTAGCGCATCAGACCGAATCGGGTGCACTAGAGAGTCAAGTCGAATTCACAGAGCATATGACATTCAGACCTAGTGGTCTCTCTAGTCAGACACATCGTCATATTACGGCTCAGATTGCTGATAGACAAGTCAAGAAGAATAAGACCAAGATGTACTTTACTGAAAAGGATCCTGAATTGGTCAAACAGGAACTAGAGATGCAAGAGAACGAGCGTTTAAAGGCACAAAGAAAATTGGAGATGCAACAAAAGAAGGCAGATATGAGATACGGTGAAGGCATGTCGCGTCGTAGAGATCAGTACGAGTATGATTATGATACAGGCGCAGATTATGCATACCGACAGGCGAGTCGAGCTCAAGATAGATATGAAGAAGACTTTGTAGTAGATGATGATGAGTATGATGAAGAAGAAGAAAGAATGAGAGAGGATCGGTTGGCACAGGTCAAACGTGCAGGCATGGATAGATATAAACGTTCTCATGATGTAGAAGAAGAAGATGATGAAGACTATGGTGATGAAGATGATGAGGAAGATGAAGAAATTGTAGTAAGAAGGGCCAAGCGTAATAGAGTTGCAAGTGATGACGATGATGATGAATAAAAAGCAAGCGCATTTAAAAAAAAAAAATACATGTAAATATCATAATAAACCCACCTCTTTATTTGACATGATGTAAAGAAATATTTTAAAATATAATGATACTCTTTATTATTAAGCTATGATCTTGTTCTTTTACCAGTTATCTTTTTACCAATGACTCCTCTACAACGCTTACTTCCACAATGACAAACCTGAGCATTTTCTACATTAAACGTCAAAAAGTTGTAATCATACGAAAGCTCGGTATAAGCAGGTATATCCTTGGAAGCAAACACACCAAAATGAGCTTCACCTCTGTACGACCATTTCTCGATATGACAGTTGGGATCACAACTATGATTGATAAATCTTGCTTCTGTTCCCTTTGTGCAAGCGTCAATGACTTCACCCTTTGAGTACTCCAAAAAGTAAAAGTTCTTCTCGTTTACATAAGTAGTGCACATGCGTTCTTCACAGAGTTCTCGAGAGATGATTTCACCACAATACTCAATGATGAACTGACCCTTCTTGATATCTTCCTTGGTGCGAAGACCCCAACCGCGTTTTTCTGTTCTGAATACTTCAACATCTGTTTCTACTTGATCCTTGTGAAACCGACGGTTCGTACACTCTTTTCCGCATGGGCAATACTTGAGATCACATTCATAAAAGAGCATTCTTAAAAAAAAAAGAGTAAGGATATATGATTTTGTTTGTTTGTTTTTTTACCTATTGAGACAACTATCGCCACAGCCGACCTCGTCTTCCTTTTCAGGCGGTTTGCAATGACAGGTGACACTATATTTTTCACTTGTCCTGGCTTTCCTTCCGACAAAGATGTTGGTCTTGATCTTCTTGAACCGGGGCGCCTTATGAACCAAGCTTTCGATAAGATCCAATTCTCGTTCTTGAAGGACGTAAGGAGGCAGTTCAAAATCTTTGACGGTCGACAGAATGGTTTCACCTTGATGAATGGGTAAGGGTACATGAAAGGCCTGTGGAGTTAAAGTGGGTACACCTCTGGTTTCAGCAGAATAGAGGCCATGAGTGATATATTCCTTCTTGTCAAAAAGTGAATCACCATGCTTTCGTTTTTTGGTCTTTGACTTTTTCTTTGGCACTGATTTGTTACTGTTGTTTGTCAATCCATTCTGTTGCTTGGCCCATCTTAATCCACAGGCATTACAGAGACTACAGAAAAGAGTTGGTAAGGGTTAAAACGTAATGATTCATCCTTACGTCCTATAACCATGAGGGCCTCTACGCCATTGAGGAGTGTCAACCGTATGACATTCTGTACAAGGGCCATCCGTTGTTTGGGGTGATGAAGATGAAGATGATGAAGAAGAGGATGCAGCAGTATTGTTATCATGAGTGGTATCTGTTTTCTCGCGTTCATCTAAAGGATACATGAATGGCTCTGATTCATATCTTTTTTAATATCTGCTTACTTGGCAAATCACGTTGGTCTTGCTGGCTAAAATAAATAGTATCTACATTAGGTCTATAGGAGAATAAGCTTCTTGTTTACAAAGGCACTTCTTTTTCTTACGGCGAAAACAATGATCGATCGTCTTGGTTTTGACTTAAATGTCTTCTTTTTGGTACATTCAACGCGTCATCGTATTCGTCATCTTCTTCAGTTGTTGGAGGAGATAATGATTCAGCCGAGGGTTCTCTGGGTATTGATATGTCTTTATTATAATCGAGCAAGGTGGATGAAACTAGTGAACCATCAGTTTCATGGTCTAATATGTGCACCATGGAAGATATCTATACATAATGCGTCAATAGATGTGTCATAAAGACAATCATGTCACTTACAAAAAGAAAGGTAATAAAGATAGAGAGAGAGAAAGAAAAAAAAAGTTTTTGCTCTGTCTCTCTTTTATACAAAAGGGGTATTTTGATTTCCGATCATACACACACACACACACACACACAAAGAAATTTCATTATGTGAATGATAAGAAAGCCACTTGTATGCACATCATCTAAAATAGAAAGAGCAATTCCATTATGTGAATTAGAATGGGAGTCATGTTTGTTTATACATTTAGAAAAGAGAAGAGATCATCCTGCTTATGGTATCAAAATAAAAAGGAACTCATGTCTTATATATTCTATCTGTCTTTTTAAATGGTGTTGGGATGGTCTATTATCTATGTATTTCTCTTCCTTGTATCAAATAATAATAAGCTCGACTTGAACAAAAAGACCATGTTGCTGGCAAACTAAAGAAAGATCAACCTAATGCATGGCTTGATTCTCTTTTTCAATTTCATTATTCAAAAAAGAATATAATAACTCTATTTCTTTTTATTATATTACTATCACTATTATTATTATTATCATTACAAGTGTGACACTTTTTTTAAAAGGTACAGGAAGGGTATACTCTCGTGATCATTGGACCAATAGAATTACAAGGAGGACATGACTGAATCAGAGTGTTGTTTATGGAATATAGACTTTAGTTTGGTTAAAAAACTTGAATTTGACGTATAAGGTGGGCATTGCCATGGTTTGACTGATTTTTTATCTAAATCTGGATGATCCTTCTCTTCATCATGTAGCACTTGAGGATCAAATATGTAGTCGATCAAAGTATCTTCCAAGATGTCCCTTTCAAAATAAACAATCATGGGTGGTTCTTTACTGATCTTGACTGATTTCTTTGTTATTGGTTTCTTTTGAAGTATAAAAGAGAATCTGTTATTATGTCTGTGAATCATAAAGAGAGAAAGGGAAAAAAAAAAAGAGTGAGAAAATACAAAGTTACAAGGTTTATATTTGCATGAAAAAAAAAAATTTTTTTTTTAGTGTGGGATGACATCCATCTATCTCTCTCCTCTATTTATTTTTCAAGCAAGAGTAAAGTTTCCAATTCCCAGGTTCTTTGTTTTGAATCAATAGAGAACTCCAGGTCCTCTTTGGTAATAGAATCCCAATATTTATAAATCATCATGACTGATAGTAGATTAAACATGGTACCAAAGAATAGACCATCCAGGTAATGTTTAACCTCTTCACACAATGTAATCGAGAATACGTATTGGATAATAAAGCCAGCCGTGAAAAATAGAATACCAAACAAGATATCCCCTAATGGCCATCGATCATCCAATGTATAGACGACCAAGATGATTTGTGATATCGTATAGATGAATATCATGATACCATTTACTATATAATAAATCACCCAAACCATGGTCGCTGTCGTCGTATTAAACGGCGGAATGTTTAAAAAGGTAAAAATAGAGATGATCCAAACCAATAAGCATACAACAAATGATGATATTCGCATAATCCATAAACTGATCCTAGACCCATCTTCGATAAATTGAAATCCAATAAATCCGTTCAATAATAAACACCAACATGTTGATGTCATCAATCCTAAATGAGCAGCAGTAAAATACTATATACAAAACATGAGTGATGAACTTTAGGTTACATTTTTCCAACATACGGGATACAAGATGGAGGCGGTCGGGATTATATTGGACACAAGTAACATTTCCAAAAATACTGTCACCAGATACAACTGTAGGAACATTGCGATCTCTTTTCGTCCCACGGCTGTATATTTAGTCTTTACATGATACACCATCACAGCTGTCATGCAGATAGCCACCAGATTCATAATTAATGTAGCTGAATAAAAAAAAATATAAGTCATTCTGTTGTTTGTGTGTCTAGGAAATTCTAACCTGGTTGAAATATAATAAGACCACCTATTTCTACATTACGTGAATAACATATTGCTTCGATGCCATTAAATTTCCCCATGAGTGGGCATAGACTAAGTGCGACTGTCTGACAGATACCATCAAACTTGAAAGGTTGAAATTTAAAGACAATCATTTGAATAATGAATAAAAAAAGACATCTTTCATATTTCTCCTCTCCTTTGAACCTTTCTCAAAGGAATGCTATCCTATTTCATTTCAAACCAGCTGTTTTTTTTTTGTTAGTGTTCTTCATCAGCTCACTTTTTTTTATAGAAAACTGTGGAGTTTATTTTTGGTCTTGTAAATAGTATAAATATATGCAGCCAATCTTTATTTTCATGCTTCTTTTTTTTCTATTAAAAAACAACAACAATGGCTATTTCTATTACTGATAAACGTCGTGTGGCTCTTGCTTATGACGGTAGCGAAGATGCTCATAAACTATTTGATTGGACCATCCAAAACGTCATTCGACCTGAAAGTGATCATTTAATACTGCTATCCGCTGTACAGAGAACAAATAAACCTCACGCTGCCAAAAGAAGTCCTAGTCCAGATTTGCCTATGCTCTCAACTACGATTACCAAGGTAGATGAAGCCATCAAGGAGACAGAGCATCAACCTACAGCACGAGAACGTCTTGAACAAATGTCGTCTCAGTTACGAAAACAGAATATCTCGAGTGAAGAGCATATCCTCTGGGGTGATCCAAAGGTTCTTCTCCCCCGATATACTCAAGCTCACAAGGTGGATCTCTTGGTTGTAGGCTCTCGTGGTTTGGGTGTTGTGAAAAGTGTCATTTTAGGCTCTGTATCTGATGCATGTCTGAAAGAGTGTCCCTGTCCTGTTCTTGTCGTACGTCATGCTACCATTTAACACCCTTCATCCATCGCATAACATATTAGCACGTTAATAATTAATAAATACTTGTATCTGTCATCTTTTCTTTTCTTTTTTTTCTTACGCGCTAAACTAAATCATACATCAATCATTCGATCCAAGTCTTAAAGTAACACGAATCGTAAACGAGAGAATCACATGAATGATATGCATCAGCCGGTTATCGCCAAGTTGGGCTCCGACTTACCATTCGAGCGAGTCTTTTCTTGAATATCAAAGTGACAGACCAACTTGTTTATCTTGCTACATCTCTTTTGCCTTCGTTTTCTTCTATCAAGGCTTATTACACACAAACCATCCTGGATTTTGTAGCCTTGTTATAGTATATATACACTTTTTCTTTGCATCTGCTAAGAAACCGCTTGATGCCAGCTTGAAGCGGACGTACAAATATCCCCTGGTTCCTTTTAACCCCAGTTGGGCTACATCTTTTTTTTTTTATGCTAAAGTTCAAACAGATCGTGGCTGAACAGCTCTCGAGGCAGACCTCGGTTCAACCTGCCAAGATTCTTCAAAGTCTGGTGATTCCCAATAAAAAGAAGCAAGGAGATCTATCCATTTCAATATTTGATGTTGATCCTCAATTAAGAACATTAAAACCAGATCCTCAACTTATTTCTACACGAGCACAATCTATTGTCAATCAGGTGCATACAACCCACTCACAAAACAGGATCCCCTTTTCCTCGAAACTAATTTTTGATTTTCAAGTTTGAACCCAATCAGTTTATTGAACAAGCCATAGTAGAAGCACCCAAGATTGCATTTAAATTCAATAGTACCGAATTCACCAAGGAAGTTTTGAACCAGGTGTTTAATGAAGGTACATCCTATGGATGGGCACATAACCCCAAGGCAAACAAAACAGTCGTCCTAGACTATAGTTCACCCAATATTGCCAAAAAGTTTCATGTCGGTCATTTACGAAGCACGATTCTTGGCAATTATGTAAAACGTATCCATCAGGCATTTGGATACAAGGTCATTGGCATCAATTACTTGGGAGATTGGGGGAAACAGTATGGCAAGTTTAAAAAAAAGCGATGAAACGCTGGGCATTTGTATCGCTGACGTTCTTGTGTAGGCTTATTAGCTGTAGGATATGAAAAGTATGGAGATGAAACACAATTAAACAAGGATCCGATTCGACACTTGTATGATATTTATGTAAAGATTAATGCAGACGCAAAAGATGACCCGGATGTGGATGTACAGGCCAATCAGTACTTTAAGCGCATGGAAGAAGGTATGGATATATTTCATTCGACTGCTTCTCACTTTTTGTCATGTTAGGCGACCCTCAAGCACTTGCTCAATGGAAACGGTTTAGAGATTTGAGCATCCAGTCCTATGAGGCGCTTTACAAGCGACTAGATGTCACATTCGATGTATATGCTGGAGAGTCGGAAGCAAAGGACTATATTTCCAAAGTATACAACCTATTGGAACAGAAAAACTTGATTACCGAAACATCCGATGGCGCCCAGCTTGTCGACTTGACTCCTCACGGTCTGGATAAGACACCTGTTCGACGAGCTGATGGAACTTCACTTTACCTCACACGTGATCTAGCTACTTTACTGAGGCGAAAGGAGAAATACAACTTTGATAAAGCCATTTATGTCGTCGGCAAGGACCAAGAGTACTACTTTAAGCAAGTATTCCAGACAGCCAACTTGATGCTGCCTGAACCTGTCGAACTGCAGCATGTCAGCTTTGGACACGTAAAGGGCATGTCTACACGTCGTGGCGAAGTCGTCTTTTTGGAAGACCTCTTGAATGAAGCACAGAGAAGGAACGTGGAATACATGCAAAACAGTGAAAACTGCAAAGTGGATAACGCAGAATTGGACTACACGGCTGACATCTTGGGCACATCGGCCATCATGATTCAGGACATGAAAACAAAGAGAGCACTCGGATATGACTTTTCATGGGACAAAATGCTTAACCCAGATGGAAAGACAGGTGTTCGTATCCAATTTGCTCATGCCAAAGCTTGTGGTATTGAACGAAGAGCTGGTGTGCCCATCTCGCTCGATTGCGATTTCACTCTACTCAAGGAGGAAGCAGCTCTTCATTTGGTACATATGATTGCTCAGTTTCCAGAGATTGTTGATCAATCGTTTAAACGCCTGGAGCCCTCGATTATTACGTCTTACCTATTTGACCTGATGACAGCGACCAATGGTGCCTATAAGTGGCTACAGGTCATACGACAGAGTCCAGAAGTATCTAGGGTCAGGATGCTTCTTTTTTGGTCTGCGCGAACCACGCTCAGAAACGGTATGTATCTTTTAGGTATCAATAGAATCCTAGAAAAGATGTAAATGTAAATAAACCATCCTTCTTACCTGCATATTATAAAATTATGCCCTTTCTTTTTTTTTTTACAAATATCTTTCATCAACGTTCTTCAATAAGTCAGGATGTAATGTCTAGTTTATCTGTTAAATAAATATGAGTAAATTAATAAAATGATAGAAACGTGTGTTATATGTATAAGTTACGATGGACAATGCTAATCATTTTCTTTCTGTAACAATTATACTAATGATTATACTTTCACAGCTACACATCTCTTACAATCAAAACTACTATTCCATAGTAGAAAAAAAACCAGGAATCGTATATCGTGAATTCCGAAGGTTGAATACGGGTTATGTCAAGCGTACAATCGACTTGTACATTGGTATACGTGACACTCCGCCTTACCTTGTGCTCGGTTACAATCATCAAAAGGAATTTATTGAATACAGCAAGCCTGAAGATGCAAAGGAAACATCCGAACCGTATTACATTTACTCTTCGCGCTAAACTATTTGCTATTACAAATAAAATGAATGAAAGATTATGCATGAAGCAACCTAATTATATGATTTATGAATAATGTAGAAAAGGACGGCATTCGCTTTTGTAGCATGATATATGTATAAATTTATCAAGAAAGACACTAATGAGCTTTATTTCTGTTCATAGATACATGACAATGTTTATCCATATTAGATAATAATTTCAATATAAACGCATATTAGAACTTCAGCATAAAATATTCTATGTACCTTTCTGATATCATGCTAATTCAATCACTAAGAAAGAAATAGGTTTGGTATTTAAGCCATCAGCTAAGAGCAACAAAAGCTTTGTCTTTTTGCTTAAAGGACAATTTTAAAAGTGAAAAAGGAATTTAAGCAAAGCCTATTAATATTTGTAATAGCAAGTGAATATATGACACGGTTTTAATAGTTTAGCACTTCTTTATTCAAGTTTCTTTTGTTAAATTGTGTCAACATCTCTCATTTACATGAAGCAAATTTGCTCTCTGGTGTGCATGTATTACATCAAAGAATAACAATTGCATCTATATCAAACATGTGGTTTTTTTTTAATTCCTTTTCCTGGTGTAAGGTAAAAGCATTTTATTTAATAGATTTGATATAAAATATTCTTTTTTTTAAAAAAACTAATGTAGCCAAACATCAAATTTAATTAAACGAGTTTAGAACAAGGATATAGCAAGTCTATTTAAGGACGATATTTGCTATTAAAAGATCAGCAATTTAACAGATGATTGGGTCACTTCTAACAAAAAAATATTTGCACAAACCTAACTTTAAATAATTCTTAAAAAAGGTCATAACACAATAAGAGATCAATTGATTCGATTTCTATTCCTTGGCAATTTGAAAAGCTTTGATATTGTATTATATGTTATCAATACATTCTTAATATATCACTGTTGCCAGTATAATTTATGCTGTAATTTTGCAAACTATGGATAAAAAAATCAATTGGGTTAAATGGGGCATGAGCATTAAATCAACAGCTAATAAAGAAAAAATCCATTTTTTTAATTTAAATACTGCTCTGTGGCACATAACAAAGCTTGCAAAAAACATAGATAAATGCACGAATATCAACAGTGTAGAAAAAAAAATCTCATTTGATTTCCATTGCTTTAATATTATTATGCGTCGTGATCTTCTAAGTATTGTCTTTCCATACTTGTTTTGCGCCACATTTGACAAAATAAATATTAATTGCAGCAATACAAGCCATATGTTATACTTGCAAAAGCTAATTAAAAATAAACAAGCTTACAAAATAAAAAAAAAAAAGCTAAAAAGAAAGAGAAAATTCATTATAGTAAGCAGAATTGGATTTTTAATCCAGAATATATACAGCTTACTATAACAAATGACTGTGGATAATTAAATATATGTAAATCATTTGCTTATTTAATATACAATAAGCCCTTTATGTTAAATGAGCCACGCTGCACATCAGGTCCAATTTCTTCAAGTCTTTAACAGTATTTACCAAACGTGAGGGTAGCAAAAAAGTCAATTTGTTTATTTAACTTGAAATAAATGTATTTAATGAATAATATAGGTATATGATAATCTAAAAGAAAAAGAAATAAACCTTAATTCAAAGATTTCTGAGCAAACATATAAATGAAATTTAGCGTCAATTATGATACACATTTAAAAAGAAATATTTTTTTCAGTGATGAGTGCCTTGTACAGTAGTGAGTCCTGATCGTATTTTGATTTAAAATAGGTAAAACACAAAAGCTTTAAATTAAATGTATAAGTGAACATCAATCTTTTTAATAAAAGCCAATTAAATGACAAGCTAAAAAGATTTTAAAAAGAAAATTGCACATTAGTGTTACTGTAACACAGATCAAGGTTCGCTTACATGTCAATCACTGTCTGGTCAGATTAACCATAGTCTAGAGGCCTTCTCATATCTCTTAAATGATTATAAACAGATGTGCAATTAAGCAAATTACAGTTAAATGTATAAACACCATTGTTTATTTTTCATGAATAAAAGCCATCACAGGCTTTAGTTTCATTGAATTATTGTCTATTTCTATTATCTTTTTATTTGTTTTTGTCCTTTACCTACGTGCTTGGAAAAACATAATGGAGTATCAGAATATCACACCTCGCCCCTAGAAGACATACAGAAGGAAGAGCAAGCACATTCAATCAAACCAGCAAGCGCCGCCTCATGAATACAATAAACCACGCAGTAGTCAGGAATTAAAACTAAGACGTACAAGGCGTATTTATTGGGAGCGGCTGCGAGTACCTGGGTGGTAATCTAATTTCCATGATTAAGAAACGCGTAAAGTGGTCGAACAACCCATTAAATGTATTCCAAGAAAATCAAGCAATCAGTAGCACAGCATACATTCTCCTTTGTATTCATCTATCGCATCAGGTTTGATAAATAGTCGCGCTGAGAACATCAAGTCATACGGACAACATTGGTTCTCTCTATAGATCCCTAATTCTATTTTTATAATATTCATCTTTTCTTTCCAATAAATAATCTAATTCGCAAGCCATCGACTTGTTTGATTTTTACAAAGGCAAAGCTGAATGCAACAACGTCTCTTATTTGCCTTTAGCATTAACCTATTTGTAAAAATGTACGATAAGAATGATTCCACGACCAAATATTTCTCAGAGCATCCCCTAAGTGAATGGTCGTACCTGGAATATGAAGCTGCAGCTAATAAGAACAAACCAATAGAGCAAAACAAAAATCGCGTACCTGAATGTGTTGTGCAGTCTCAGAAATACAAGCGCCATACTAGACGATGTGAAGGCAGAGATAGACCATCCTTCCTGTTGTGCCATCACAACATTATCAATAAATATTCACAGCTACTGCTCTTCGGCTATAGCTTGTTCCACATATAGCCTATCATATGTGAACTCTCTTATACCTAACTCCTGGAGCGCCGTTACAATACTTCAATTGAACGCCAGTGCTCCTGTAGTACAGATCAATGGTTCCTTATTCGACAATCACTGTCAGATCAGGTTCACTTTAGTCTAGAGGCCCTTCCCATAATTCTTGGATGATTATAAATAGATGTGCAATCAAGCCAATTATCGTTATCGTGCGTAGATATTAAAAAGTATAAATACCATCGTTTTATTCATCGTAAATAAAGACATCATATATTTCAGTCTCACTGACTTATTGTCCTTTTCCTATCCTCTTCTCATTAGTTTTTGTCTCTTACCTTTGTACTTGGCAAAACACTTCCTGCATTGCCTTTAACATCTCCGCCAAAAACTCATTCACCGCTAATGCTATTGAAACCGGCGTGCTGACTCCTCAAGTACAGTGGCCTCAGCAGCTATAGCAAGACTCCCAAGATCAAAACGAGGAGTATGACAGTGATGGAGACGGAACAAGGATTCCAACAGACCTATTATCAATCACTATCCCAAATGGACTAATGATTATCCCCTTTCCTTTGAGGAAGGTTCAGCCCAACTAGAGGATGGCCCAGCCAACGGTACTAAATAGATGGTTGAGAATCACTACATTTCAGACCTGTGCTTCGAAATCAAAAATGCAGCTATGCAGATAATAAGCCAGACTAACCCAGCACGACTATCTGATGCTCGCCTTTTGGTATTGAATGGCATCCATCTCTTTGACAAAAATTTGCCTTCTCTGTCAGTAAATACTTTACCCTTACAATCCATGATGTCATTAAAACATCGCTATCATTCGAAATGCATCTTCCCCCAAGAGGTATTCAATGCTATGACTGATGTATGGTTATTGAGGTATCTCCTCCCTCAAACCGGCTTTCTTCTTTAACATTATGCGGAAAACTTCTTAGTAGTGCTTGTGAATTAAAGAATCTTTTAGATAGTGTAATTTTTCTTCTTTGGATTGGGGAAGTTCGTGTGTAAATATAACGATAAGAGTAGGTTCCTGTGCAAAGTAAGTCTTATTGGGCTTAAGCTAGAAAGGAAAATTGTATAAAAAGAGTAAAATATAAAGAATCTAGTTCGCTAGTGATCACCAGATCTTCTTATAAGATCAAAGTAAAAATATAAGCAAAATGTAAAGATAAAAAGAAAAGATCCAAGAGTTCTATAAGTGTTAATATACTTATTGTACTGGATTATAAAGAAGATAAAGAAATATAAAAGAAAAAGAGTAGGTTTGATCCCAAGTGCTAAAGGCTTGTTATACTTGAAGTAGGATTGGATTGGATTGTTGTTCTCTTTATTTTGTCCAAAGGACCAAAGTATTTATAACAAAAATAAATTTAAAAAAAAATTGGAATACATGAGTTCATGTACATGAACTCATGTTCTTGGAGTAGTAGTTGACGTTGTTGAATATATTGAAGGTGCTTGATTTATGAGTTTTGAATTCAGACAAAACAAAAATTGCTTCAACGATGTCGTCCTCTGAAACAAATTCCCAAAAATAGTAGTTACAACAATATATTGAAAACGCTTGATTTATGAGTTTTAGCCTCAGACAAGATAAAAATTGCTTCATTAACGGCGGATAATAATTTACCCGAAAACGGGTGAAAAAATTTCCCCAACGGGGAATCGAACCCCGGCCATGTCGGTGAAAGCGACAGATCCTAGCCACTGGACCATTGAGGACCGCTTATGAAAGCGTAAGCGTAAAAAATCATATATAATTTAATTATTACGTGCATATCACGTGATGTTTTGCTTATTTGTTGCCTTTTGTCTGTTTCGTTAAGAACCGCTTTTTGGGTCAGGGCATGACATTATGCAGAACAAGTTAATGTCGTTTTGCCTTTTTATTTATGCTTGTCTAATGCTATTTTCTGTTAGTACAAAGAAAGAGTCTAGGGCAGAGTGAAAAAAGAAAGTTAAATAGGGACAAATTCTTTATTTTAGTATCTCTTGGTATTCAAACTAATGAAGTCGTTCGCTCAAAGTTCAATCAATGGTGCTTCATCAACTACAGGTTGCTGATGCTGTTGATTCTGCTGAGGTGGCTGAATAGATTGGTTATAGTAATGACTAGTATTCAAAGGCTCTACTATTTTCTGTGGTTGTGGTTGGGAATAATGCTGCTGCTGCTGCTGTTGTTGTTGTTGTTGTTGTGATGTTATTTGCTGAGGTTGCGATAGAGAAATAGCCTGCTGGGGATATTGAATAGATTGCTGTGGCTGAACAGGAGGATATTGTGCTTTTATTTGAGCAGGAGTAGGTGGATAGTACGCTTGTGGGTGGGTTGTAGAGGTGGGAAGGGGGAACTGTAGTTGAGTGGAGGAAAGGCTGTACTGCATAGGTTGCTGCTGTGTAACAGGATACTGAATAGGTGGGGAGGTAGCTACTGTTCCAAGATCAGGGTACATAACACTAGAATTAGAAGCATTAACAGGTGAAGTTGCAGCAGTAGCATTTGCCGAGTTAAAGTTGGTACTTGAAGCAGGGGGAATATACGCTTGTTGCGATGAGGTAGCAGTAGCAATAGCAGTAGTAGTCGGAGGGGGATATTGATTAGCAGCGGGAGAATAGTAGTTTTGTACGGGGTATGAGTAATCGTAACCACTGCTTCTGTGAGCTTGTGATAATCTCTGGTGAAGCAGGCGATCGTAGGCTTTGACAGCTTCATTTAGCTTTTGATGAAGTTGAACAAACCTTTCTATAGATAAAATTTAGTAATGGGATTATGTTGTCATTTCTATATATTTACCATGTTTTTGGCAAGTTTCATTGAGTGTTGTTACTAGTTTAGGCTGAAGAGAGCCAATTTCCGTATAAAGCTGATTCACCTGCTGGTCTCCTGAGACGTCTCCTCCTATTGATTGAATTCGATGCATTAATGTTGAAAATAACTGAATGTTTTCCATATCTGTCAACGATAATTCATTGCTCTTGTCGTTTGTAATTTTTGAAGTTACTACAGAGGGTGAGGATGCTGATGAGATTTTCATATCAGCCAAGGAAGCGGCGATAGCGGCAGCGAGATCCGCATCTTCCTGCTCTTCCTCCTTTTGATTAGAGCTGTAGCTCACAGGCTTCTGTTGCTGTTGCTGTTGTTGAGATTCTTTTAATGATATTTCAATAGCTTTCTTCAAATCTTCTTCAAATTGATCATCATCCTTTGCTGTTTCGGTTGTCTTTTGGCTAGTTGAAGGTGCATAGACTGGAGCTAATGAAGAAGAAGTAGAGGCCGAGGTAGTAGTTGGTGTGCCTAAGAGTTGAGATACGGTTTCTTTATCTGCAATCTTGGACAGCTTGACCTTGATATAACATCCATCGCATACACGAACTATATCGTTAATTCCCAAGTGTGGTAAAGGAACATTTTTAGAAGAGCATTGTTGACAAAATGTACCCCCACAGTTTCGGCAGTGATGCTACATTAAGTTAATACACCATTTTTTGAATTCTATAGCAGTTACCTTTCTATTTGTTAAAGTAAAAGGTGTTCTACATCGTTCACACACATCAGAATCAGTCCATTCTGGTGCCTGGGATACAAGTTAATATGCAGAAATAAATACAATATTAAGAAACTTACAACTGCCGTTTCTAAAAAGATAGAATCAATCTTTTCCGTAACTGGAGGGAATGCGTAACCTTCCGCTTTCAACAAACTGTATGTTCCCGTGATATAGCTTAGGGATGGGTTTCCTTTAGCAGCTATTCCCCAAGTTTGAACCAAGTAGAGCACTTTATGTTTGACATCTTGATTGCTTGCCGTTTTCAAGACATGTGTTACCTCTTCCATGAATTCTCTTGTAGCTACTTCTTTAACAAATCCATTACCACTATTTTTCACGCAAGTATCTACCAACTTTTGTATTCCTTATTATTATTTGTCTTGGCAAAATTATAAAGAATAGCTTACCGATAAAGTAGCCAATATGACATTGGGATTTTTATGGGATAGTCTTTGTTTAAGTGACCGAACAGCTTCCTTAGGAGTCACTTTCTTACTTCTAATTTGATCACTGATTTCTAAATGAAGTGCCAAGTCTACTTGGCCAGCAGGAAGTAGCTCAGACGTCGCCTTTTCTAAATAGACAGAATGAGTATGCTTAGGTTATTGTTGACATTTGTTTATTCACCAATTAATTCGTCAAATGCACTTTGGCCCCACCAGAATGAGCTCATGAGAGATTTTTTGATAAAAGAAATAGTTGCAGTGCCTGCAGCGTTAAATTACGAACATTTGAACAGCCAATCAACGCAAACAAAAGTTTCAACTGCGGATTCTGAATAGCCAGAAGAGACCTGAACTGCATGATTTTTCATAATAGAATGAAGGAGCAGTGGACTGAATCGACAGAAGTAAACTAAGATAAATACGCTAGAGAAAAAAGCCCTGTTCCTTTATTGCTTGAGGGTGAAACAGCTCAAGGCTGTGCAAGCTGGGATATTGCGTTATGGAGAAAGTCTATTGTAAATTAAATTTCTTTATTAAATTCAAATGCAAAATAGTCTAATCGCATAGGACAATTCTGCTCGATGAAACGAGCATAGTTATCAAATTTACTGCTTTCAGATACAGAACAAGTTTGTTGACTTGTCTTTGCTTGATGTTTCTTCCTGATGTGTACATTATTGATAATACAGTGAGCATAGTAATTGCTTCAAACACAACTCTATATAAGCATGGACGAATTTGGGATTATACTTGGTATACTTGGTAAACTGTAAATTGCAATCTTTGCTATTAGATGAAAGGCAGCAGTACTCTACGGGAGCCTAGCACTAACTTTCTCTGTTATTGATAATTGTAGTTATAAACAAGCTATGCATTTATAATAAATGCTTATTGCCTTCTTATTTTGCCTTGTAAGTTGCTTACTCTTTGCAAAAAAGAATTATATTTACATCAATCCTGTTGTTTGGAGTTGTTTTTACAAGCTTTGGGGAATTATTAGACACGGTAATATTAGAAAAGTGTATAACGTATATGACTTACAGAAAGAAGTTTGTACACGTACTTTTTTCATTAATACGTTGACAATATGTTGAGTTATCTTTGGAGGTTCTTAGCAATAACTTTCTAATTTGCAGATTAGCATGATGTATGCTTATATTATGTAATAATAAGGACATTTTTCTGGCCGCGACGGTAAAAAATCTATGAGCAAGCGTTTGACTAATGTAAAAGCAAAATGCCGTATTGATGGGTTTAGTTGATGGTGCCCCAGTAAATTACGCAAATCTTTAAGTGTGAGCTCTGCCGAATAATACCAGGTTTTCAATTTACTGTAAATTCGTAAAAGCTTCTCTTTTAGATCGCTTGGCTATATTCCTTTGTTTATTAAATGCTTTGGACTTATTGTTAAACCCAGTTAATTGACAAGGTTAGTGCTTATATTATTATGCTTTGTGCACATTCTTTCTTGATTTAACAGACATGTTTACCATCAATTACTATTATGATTTTTTTTAACGAATTTCTACGTTATTTGGGCAAGAAAGTTAAAGCTGTATGTGGGTGGGGGGTTTTTTTTTCAATGTCAATGGGCACATAAAAGTATATAGAAGTGTTCGAACAGTATAGAACAATGAAATCGATAGCACATTTAATGCAGTGTACTTCATAATGAAAATAAAAGTGATCACCTGGCCAATCAAAATAGATCTCTTTTATTATAAATATGCTCTAAGAATAATAGACATAGGTCTCTTTCTTTTCCTTCTTATACCCGTTAGTAATATGAAACAGCAAGTAGAAAAAGGCCCTATGTCACCAAGAAGGCTGCTGAAGCCAAAGATTTCAGATGATTCCAGCAAGGTTTTACCAGTTGACGACCTATTACTGCTACAGGAACAAGGTGAAACTTCTATACTGATTTCGCCAAGCAATGTCCGTATCAAAGCCAAGGATATTCTGAACATGATTGATAACAGACAGGACTTCATAACGCTGCCTGACAATGACTATTGTATTTTAAGAAATGACATTTTTTCTGTTCTACATGCTTATGGCGACAGACAAGCTGATCAACACACTGTAGAGCTTTTTCTTATGGATATCGATTTCGACGTGTCGACATCGAAGCGTCCCACAAATGCTTTTATATTATACAGAACTGCTTGGGGAAAAACTGTTAGATCTATGTTTCCCGAGTTCAATAACAGCCAAATATCAAAAATTCTAGGAGCAATGTGGAAATGGTCTGGTAATCAAGTGAAAGATAAATATATACAGCGAGCAAATGAGTATCGCAAAATTCACAAAGAAAAATATCCCAACTTTGTATACAGCACTAAAAGAGTTGATAAAAACAAGCAAGTATCAGCAACTGACGATCATCATTTTGAATGCAATTACGCCGATTTGGGGTTACAAGGCTCTATGGTGAACCAGCTTGTTCATAGTGGAACAGCGGATGACAATAAGTCTGCTGATGCGCTAGGCAACAACTTCTGTAGCAACAACAATTACTCTGGATTTACGCAGAAGCAAAATTTTGCTACAGTTTCAGATATTTCAAACTCTGAGTGGCAAAAAGTATGCGATTTAGTCTTGGATATACTTAGTAGTGGCATACCTGAAGACTCCGTTATCGATGATCAATACTGGGATATTTTACAGAATGTTGATTTAGAACAAAGTTTCTTTTACAATGACTGGGCTGCTGCTGTAAACTTAAGTCAACCTTAGGATGTGCCAGACGCTGACTATTAAACTCCACTGACATTTTTTTCTTTCTTTTTCTCTCTGCTTATTTTCAACCATATTCAATGTCCAAGAATAAAAGCGATAGTAAACGATCTAAATGGAATAGTTTTGACTGGGATTCATTAGAGTAATCAATAAGAATTGCGTGAAATGTATAATCATTTTTCATATATATTTCATATAAAATAATACGTCGATAGCTATGAACCACCTGTTGTTAACGCCACATTCAATGCTCTGACTAACGATTTTGAAGTTTCTCAACCTACTAAACAACGCGATTGGAGCTTCGATGACAGCTATGATGTTCAGCAGCAAAGAAACAAACCCTCGTCTAAAGCAAATTATTCTGACGAAGCACTCACAGTAACTTTTCGTTTGAATCTTGAAGAGCCCGAGAACCCTGTCTTTACCAAGGTGGTTGACTATGGTTCCTTTCGTGATCAAGATATTATACCTGAGTATGATGACCTTATGGTACCCACTAACAATAATCAAGTAGAAGAAGATTATCGTACGCCTATACCTGATGTTCCCGTAAACAAATTAAGATCTCCCTACGAGAGCGTAAAAGAGTATCTTTATACTCACTTTGAACTGATGCGTCATGATTTTCTTTTACCCTTGAGAGAAGCAATAAATGGATATAGACAAGAGTATGCTTCTCTCAAAGGAGCAGAGACTATGGGAGAATCCATGGAAAAGTTGTCAGCTCAAAAGCCTTTTCGTCTTTATGAACGCGTAAATGATGGCATATATCAAAGAAGCGATGTTTGATTCACTAATTCTTATTTTTAATAGGTGCAACTGAACGCAATCGTGTTTGGTTCGCGTCAACCGTTGCATAGAATCAGCTTCCGACTACCTTACTCTGTACGTGTCCAGTGGGCACAGTCCAAGCGATTGATGCCTGGTTCTCTTGTATTATTGTCAAAGGATCACTTTAAGAGTGATTTGAAAATTGCAACTGTGGTTGATAGAGGAGAAGAAGAACCAATGAAGGGCCCTGATAGATTTGAATACTTGATTGATATATACTTGGAGAGGGATAACGAAGATCAACCTCTTGGTTTTGGTGACCCAACCTTGACTGATAAAGATATCTATGTGATGATTGAAGCAACGAATGGTTATTTTGAAGCTTATCGACATGTGCTTAAAGTGCTTCAGAATGTCGAGCCTGATCAATTTCCATTCTCTTCCTATCTTGTCAATTTATCAAAAGATATTCTTATACCGCACTATGCTGCCAGAAAAAGGGTGTATGACATCAATGTATTCAAAAGGCATGTCAGAGATGAACAATGGCCAGTTGACATCATGGGAAGTTGGCCAGAATATAGAACAGGAATGGATAAGACCCAATTGGATGCACTCAAGACAATCTTGACAAGAAATCTATCCATCATACAAGGTTGGGTTCTTTTTTTATTTTCTAGACTGTTTTAATGCTTATTAATAGGCCCACCTGGTACTGGTAAAACATTCGTGGGTACATATGCTATGAGAGTCTTATTGAATAACTTTAATGAGTCGTTGGGACCCATTGTATGTATTTGCCAGACCAATCATGGTAAGGGCAAGAGTGATGGCTGCATAAATGACTCACTCTGTAATTAGCTCTTGACCAGTTCTTGGAGCATATTTTGGCTTTTAATGAAAAGATCGTTCGTGTGGGCGGAAGATCAAAATCAGAACTATTGAAAGAGCACACGATGTATGAACTTAAAAAAGCTTTAAAGGGTCCACGCGGTATCAGTCGACTTTATCGCTCTCGTGATGATATCATAGCGCAGATAGAACAAACAATCATCGAACTGTATGAGCAACCATGCGTAACAGTCGAGTTTCTCGAGAGTATCAAGGCTCTGAGACCACGTCAGCTAGAATGTTTAAAGAGAGCGATCAACAGGGAAAAGAAACACGAAGCAGGTTCTGCTCGAGACTTAGCTAGTGACTCTGATGACGACTGGGAAATAACATCTGTTGTGCTAACAACAAAGAAACCATCACAAAATCAGAAAAGAAGGGGAAAGAATGGAAGACGTGGTAATTATAGTACGATTAACGATAATGACGCATTGAACAACATGAGCAGCTTCTGGGACGAGGGCAATCCAAATAGGATTCACAAGGCCAAAGAAAAGACAACGAATCCTATTGAGATATGGCTTAAGGAAGCTATTGAGTTTGTAACTGATAGTGACAAAACGACATTTGATGAAATGGCAGAAGGCTTGCTCGAACAAACAAAGGGAGTCGTGTATGAAGATATGATTGATGAAAATGAAATCATTGAAGAGGATCAGTTTGAAGAAATGCAGAGAAATTTCCAAGGCGATGATTTTGAATATAAAGCTAAGAATCATTTCATATCTCTCGGCAAGGCTTACCAACGACTCACAGAAGTCAATCCGGGTGAACGTCAGGGGAGAAAGATTGTGAACTATAAAAAAGCTGGAAAACCTGCTGCAATGAACAGGGCAAACTTTAACTTCTTTGAGGATATAGATGATGTGGATGATCCATGGGCAAATGATGCCAAAGAAAATAGCAAGTATTGGGAAGACGAGCCTTTGAAAAACCAGTCTTTAGAAAGATGGATGAAGGAGGATGATGTATTTATGTGGCCATTGAGTGTTCGATTGAAGGCACACAAGGAATGGATTGATTTGAGAAATCAATCTTTGGAAGCTACTCTACGCCGGTTGATGAGTAAATACACAAGTATTTCTGCCGAAATTCGATCTGTCATGGTCAAGTATGAGGCAAAGATTTGCAGAGAGAATCGTGTGGTTGGCATGACTAGTACTGCTGCAGTAAGTACTCTCTCTGAGCTGTACTGTTTAGTGATTCACATGTATAAATAGGCAAAGTATCATGATCTATTGGAAGAAATGCGCCCTCGTATCATGGTTGTGGAAGAAGCTGCAGAAATGGTAGAGTCCCATATTGTTTCTGCTCTCACTAGTTCTTTAGAACATTTGATCCTGATCGGGTAAGTGTACAAAGATAGGATGCGATAAATTGTTTTTTAATATCATATATTAGTGATCACCAACAATTGAGGCCCTCTACATCCGTTCACAAGCTCTCTGAGGTTCATGGACTGTCTGTCTCTTTGTTTGAACGTTTGATTATAAATCAGTTCCCATTTACGCGACTGTCTCACCAAAGACGTATGTTGCCTGCCATTCGTCAATTGATCAATCCGATCTACCGAGACCCTCCACTTCAGGATCATCCAGATGTATCAAAGTATCCACCTGTTAGAGGAATGGCTCAGCCTCTATTTTTCTTGAGTCACCAAGAAGAAGAAACAAACTTGTCCGATTCTGCTTCCAAAGTGAACGAACATGAAGCCAAGATAGCAGCCAGACTTACGCTTTACTTACTTCAACAAGGCTATAAAGCAGAGGAGATTACGATCATTACAATGTATTCTGGACAGAAAATGATGCTGAGAAAGATGCTCCGAGAGGAGAGGACTCCAATGTATGATCCTGACCAAGTTAAAGTATCCAGTGTGGATGGATATCAAGGAGAAGAAAACAAGATCATCATTTTGTCCTTGGTCCGTAGCAACTCTAATGGCCAAATTGGTTTCTTAAAGACAGCTAATCGTGTCTGCGTAGCGCTCTCAAGAGCAAAGCATGTAAGTGGGATTAGCTCTTTATGATAGGGTAATTCATGTTCTATATAGGGAATGTATATCCTGGGAAACGCTAGTCTACTGTGTGACAAGAGTGAATTATGGAATGAAATTATAGCCAATTTGGAAGAAAGAGAAGAGAGAATGATTGACACTAGGTTGCCACTTCAGTGTGTTAAGCATAATGTGATTACAGAGGTTCAATATGCAGTAGATTTTACAGATGTATCTGAAGGAGGCTGCACTCGACCTTGTGGGGAAAAGCTCAGATGTGGGCACGAGGTATGAATCTATACACACACACAGAGTAAATACAAGTATCACTCATATTAAATGTAGTGTCTGCTCAAGTGTCATCCTTATGATCATGACAATATCCTCTGTAAGCATCCCTGTGGTAAGATATTAGAATGTAGACACCCATGCCCCAACTATTGCTTCCAGCACTGTGGTCCGTGTACTCAAATTATCTCAGTACGTCTTCCTTGTGGAGATACGATAGAAGAGTCATGTAGCAAAATCCGCACCATGGCCAAGAATCCTGAAAGACATAGGTGCCCTACGTGCAGCTCGCCTTTATCCGTAAAATAAGGTGACAATCTTCTTATTGCTAGATATATATAATAAAATGATAAGCTTATCATTGCTTCCCTTTTTACTCATCATTGGTGAACTGACTTTGTTCAAATGAGTTTGTCATACTTTTTTCCATTAAAAAAAGTTTTATATGATATATTTTTTTTTTTTTTTTCTCTTTTTTCTGTTCTCTTTTTCCACTCCTTTATTATTATTTTATGCCATTCGATACAATTGATACACCTCATCATTATTATCAAATACCCTTGGATGACATTTGGTCTAAGCTAAATGTATCCTATACAGAAGCCGGTATTAATGTAGAAACAAATGTCACCAGCGCTTCAGATCTGCACTCGCTCATTGATGCCTTTGGGAAATTATGTGACACCAATCCACCTGACCCAGCATACTCCCCAACTACCGTATCTGGCATTACGCCCCTTTACAGAAATAAATCACACCAATCTAAGCCTGTCAATTATTTTATATGCACGGATAAGCTCGGCAAGAGAATCACGCCGATCAGACAGAACAATGGACAATTGCGAGACATTGCAGATGCATGCATACACACCTACTTTGAATGCTGGATACGATTCACACCTATTCTCTCTCGTGAAGAGTTTATGCAGTGGTACATGTCACATCCTGATCCTACAAGCACCCTTATTGTCAATGCCATCTGTCTATTCGTATTTCGACACATGGTGACTCATCATTGCCCACCTGAATTAGAACATTATATCACCAATCAAGACACGATTCAAGAGCAAGAAGAATATTTCTTTGAACAGGCACGAGAATACTTGGCTCAAACCTTTGACCACCCTGACAGGTTCACCATCATTGCCCTGTCCTACATGATGTCTCGAGCAGAACCAAGCCGTCGACATCAGTACGCGGGTATGGCAGTATCTGCACTTCATCAGCTCGATATTTATCCACGCCTTGTTGAAGATGACGACACATCGTTTGAAAAAGAAAAGGATACACGCCTCTGGTGGTTCGTTTGGGCATGGGACTTTTACATGTCCTCCTCAGGTGCACCCAAGAACACGCCTCAACCCAGAGTGCCTGGTAAAGAAATCGATCTGCCTCGCGTGATGGAGCAGGACATTGACAACGGCGAGCTTGGTATTCTGGCATTCATTCACTGCCTACAAATCTGGAAGATACAATCCCGCGTCGTCACAACATTTTATGAACAAGCAGTGGATATGACACTAGAACAACTTCATGCGTACGATAAACAGCTCTTGGAGGTTTACCAACAATTGCCTTGTTATTTGAAAGGACAGAGCAAAAACAACGACGTGCTTTTGGCTTCTATTCGAGTTCACCTTGAATACAATGCGACACGCATCATTCTTCACAAGCTGTTTATACCTGACCAAAACGACCCACGACCGAGCCAGGCATCGCTCGAGTCATTAAATGTCTGTCTAAAGACTGCTCTTCAACAGATTCCAAATTTAAGCACAGAGTTACCCAAGGCACGGTGCGCATTTGATCGTGATGAGTTTTGGAGAGCATGTGAAGTCATTTCGCTGGCGATGGACATTCACCGTACCTGTGCGTCTCCCAAGGACCGCGCGTTGATTACCAAGGACGTTGACTTGCAGGAATTTGAGAGTGGCCTGACAAGAGGTCTGCATATCCTAAAGAACACAAAGGAGTACCAAGTAGGCGGAAGAGGCTGGATCCAGGTCGTGGACTGGTTAGAGGTTCAAATTCGAAGACACCAACTGTATTCTCGCCCAAGGCCAATCATGGACCCGTCTTGCTCTCTTGAAAATCTAAAGAGAGAAGTCAAGCAATTACCATCATTTGATCATCAGTATTCTATGCATTCATTTCAAGCAACCAAAAAGAGTTTGGCCAATACTTCGTCCATCTCCTTTGTACCATTTCATCCTACTTCATCATCGCCTCCTCGATCACGAAGGAACTCTTCAGACCAAAGAGGCAAGGTTCAGTCCAAGTTTCGGTATTTTAGTCCCAAAAAGATGAACAAGTTTATGTTTATTGACGATAATCCTATTTTCTGAATACGTCCCTTTATTAATAAAATTATTTATAGTAATTTTTTTCTCTTTTTTTTTTTTTTTTTTTTTTTTTTGTATGAAAGTGTAGACTTTATCTACATATATTTAGTTAAAGTGATGCTATTAACACTGTGAATTCTTGTATATTTAACTCAATGCTGTCTGTTTTAAAAAAAGGTACAACAACGATAACATAGCAACCATTGCAAACTGCTTTTCATAAGGTTATTACATGATTTTTAATTCAATTAAAACTACAAATATGATCGGTATACAAGTTATTTATCGCATAGTAACCAATTCTTCAGCAGCTGTGGGATGAATGGCAACACAGGCATCAAAGTTTGCCTTGGTAGCTCCCATACGGACGGCAACACCAAAACCTTGAAGAATTTCATCACTTCCTCTACCCAAGATGTGAACACCTACAACCTTTTCCTCAGGTCCCGTCACAACAAGTTTATAAGCTGTAGGTTCCTTATGCTCAAGCATAGAAAAGTACATGTTGATAAATTTGGAGGTGTATACCTTGACGTTTTCGTCACCGTAACGTTCACGAGCTTGCTCTTCAGTAAGACCTACTGTGCCTGCTGTGGGATGAGAAAAGACAACGGTAGGAATGTTTTCATAATCTAATTTGGATTCCTTGAATTGTTCACCTCCAAACAAGCGGTCTGATAATTTACGACCAGCAGCAATAGCAACTATATAAAGCGTCATTAGGGTACTTTTATATAAATAAATATATATAAAAGTTAAGTACCTGGTGTCAATTCGGCTCTACCACAAGCATCACCCAAGGCATAGATGCCAGGCGTAGATGTATTTTGATATTCATCAACAGCGATATGTCCCTTTTCAGTCAACTTGACATCAACAGCTTCCAAATTCAATTTCTTGATATTAGGTACACGTCCAACAGCCCAAAGAACAGTATCTACTTCTATGCTCTTGGACTCACCATTCACTTCATATTCTACGCGGATAGCATCACCCTCACGCACCAAAGCCTTCACGCTGGACTCGAAAGCGAAATCGACACCTACATTTTGCATTTCCTTCAAAAGAGTTTCACGAATGATACTATCGAAGCTACGAAGGATATGCTTGGTACGAGAAAAGACTGTGGTCTGGGTGCCCAAAGCATTGAAAATGCCTGCTAATTCAATACCAATGTATCCAGTACCAATGACAGCCACACGTTTAGGTTGTTCCTCAAGATCAAAGAATCCATCAGAGTCAATACCATAGTGTGCACCAGGAATATTGGGAATAAGGGGATGTCCACCTTTGTATACTGTCAATACTCTTATTTTTCTCTTGATTTGTTTATGCACAAACCTGTGGCAATCAAAATGTTTTTGGCTTGAAGTACAAATGATTCTGTCTCTGATCTTTGAACACGCACCGTATTCTTGTCTATGAAACTGGCAAAACCTTGAAAGTGCTCTACTTTATCATTACCCAAGTTTCTTTCATAGATTCCATTCAATCGCTTCACATAGACATCTCGCTTTTCTTTAAAGAACTTCCAGTCAAATTTGGCTTCGTGACTACCAAAGCCATATTGCTTTGCATCACGGAGTGCTTCAGCAATAGAAGCTACAAGAGATATCAGCAAGTTGTTCCCTGAAAAAACTTTTGTTTTTACATACCAGCATTCCACATGACTTTCTTGGGCACACAGCCAACATTGACACAGGTACCTCCTAATCTATGTTGTGCTTCTATCAGGGCAACCTTTGCGCCGTGAATGCCACTGGCACGTCTAGCAGAGGCAAGACCACCAGAGCCTCCACCAATAACTAAATAGTCATATACTGTTTTTGTAATCATTTTGATAAAGAGAGAAAAAAAAAAGAGGGGCTAAAATGATTTCTTTAATAAAATAAAGAGGCGATGACAAATCAAAATTTTCAATGTGGATTATCAATGGTTAAAAATCGCAGTAGGATGATGAAATTGACTCTTCCCTTGATTATATAATCATTGAACAGCGAATAGAAATCGATCTTATAAAAGATCGTTTGAAATATCAGGGGGAGCCATCGTACCTTCTTTCTCGGTCATCGTAGGTATTTCTTCAATTTCTTCAGTGGAAGGTAGTTCAAGTAGACGAGGCCATTGAACGAATTGATCTCCATGTTGAATGGCAAAGCGTGCACCAGAGATTAATACAGAAATCCAAAATAAAAGAAGAAGGACGTAGGACGTGATGGATTGGAAGCCAGAATAGCTTGGGTTCACGATGTTTATGATCAACATAAAGAGAGCAAACAGCATGATATAAGGTACCTATCATCAGTTTAGGATTTGTATAATAAAAATTGATGGAAAACTTACAACTCGGATACGAAGTGATCTTTGATCTTCTTTTTGGACAGGCTTACCGTCTGGACGGTATCTACCAAGAAATAGATCAAATGAGTCCTGACGAGAGCCATCCATAAAGTTATTCTTGCAATAACGAACAATGGAATTTTCCAAGTCCTTGAGTGCTCCGACTTTTGTACGCTTTCCAGTTCTATCGTTTAAATCATTAGATAACATTCCAAGAAGGAAGTCTAAACATTACCTTGTGAAATCAGTCTTGAGAGCACCCGTGCCGGAATAAACACAACTTACACCATCTGCATTATCGGCCCAGACTAGAGTACAAGGGTTAATGAGACAGAAAAGGATACTGATATAGTTTACCATTTCTATAAGTGTTCATCAGTTCTTGTTGATCCTCCAAGAGCTGATCAGGCGTCAGAATCTCAAGATCACGCAACTGACGATTCAAAATCCAGCGAGCAATGGTGCTCTGAACTACGTTAGTGCGATCCAGGCAATCCATACAGTTGGAACGAATGACTGAGGTCTGTGTTTGCTTCACAGTTTGATTAGAGCTTCCTGGGTTAACAACGTATGTATAACTAACACATAGTTGAGTATTGATGCTGTTGATTTTGTTTATATAGTATATCTTACCCTTGTTCCACCAGTTTATCTTTTAACTGATCTAGCAGCAGGTTAATACGGTGCCAACGCATTTTGGAGCATTCAGCATGGAAATCAAAATGAATATAATGAATACGAGGATCATTCAGCTGTTCTACCGTACGAGCATAGGCTTGACCCATAGGAAGCTCGTATCCTTTCTTGTTGATCAAATTGACCAAGATTTGTGGTCCATAGATGCGAATCTGCTCATCAAAGTGCATACGAGCAGCAGCCAACTAAGGCCCTTATCAGTATCTTATTCATCCATATTACGCTTCAACTTACACTCTTTCGAGTTTCACCAATCCAAAGTTTGGGTGTGTACTTGAGATTGATGATTTGAGCCCAATAGACAGGAATCGATCCTCTTGTCTGTACATAAGATAGTTGTTTGTTTTCATGCAAGACAAACTGTTCTGTTTCTACAAAGTTAGATACATGACCATTTTCATCAATTCCACGAGAAAAGTAACGTGTGCCAGGTCTATATCTGCTTCTACGTGTGATGATTCCCCAAGTGAAAGATTTGCCATTCAAACTGCATGGATTCATCTCTATAACTTTGATACAAGAGCATTAAAAGAGAGAGCTATCTTTTTTTTCCCTTTTGATGGACTTACATCCTTGCATGACAGGCAAAATGTATTCAGATAACTAAAGAATGAATGAGCAAAATGTTCATTGATAAACATGTAAAAATCATACGTCTAATTCAGAGTCTATTAACTTGGATGATACAAATCTATTCCAAAAAAAACGTTCATCTGCCTAATAATACGCCCTTATCAATCATTGTCCTCCCTTTTCCTTATCCGCTTACTCTTTTATATAAAGGATCATTTGAATTCAACTGAAGCTGTCTTTGCATGGATTGAGTCAAGTCATAGTCGTAAGAAAAGTAAAACGTATTCGTTCGAAGATGTGATTCCAGCAAGTTGACATAGTATTGTTCTCGTGATTTCTAATAAGGCTTTAGTACTTGTCCATATTCCCCTCCATTGATCTTTTACCTCTTCTTCTGTAAGCTTATCTAAATTACGAGCTAGAGGAAGTATCTGAAAAGCGCCCACACGAAAGATATTCTTGTCGTGAATGGAGCCTATTGACTCTCTCTCGGTGATAACCAGTAGATATTCACCCGCCAATAGTTTAATAAACCCCATTACACCATAAATCCATAATGTGCTCTCTTCTTCTTGAACATTAGGAAGTGTATCTAGAAGAGAGTATAAACATACAAGAAATAGATTCTTTCTTGTTGCTAACCTGTCATCTTTAAACTGCCATCTTTTCTATTGATCTGCAAATAAGATTCCGAAGATATAGGGGCAACAGTGTATGTGTCCTTGGTAGTGTGTCTATATGAGCAAGGATAAATATTAGGTAATCTTTACTCATAGAATGTCTTATTATTACAGCTTATAGTCTTTAAGCATAATTGTCTGTAAGAAAGAGAAGGGGTTTTTTAGGTAGCAAATAAAATTTATTAGAGTAACACACGTGAGAGGCATGTCCTTTTAAGCAGAATGTAAAGGGCCTTTGATACAACAGCCTATCTTTATGTTCTCATCGTCGTATTTTAGCACTGATATTCACTTTAAAGGAGTATTAAACAGCATAGATTGTGAAAAAGATTGACATTACGCTATTGATCTGCCCTACAACTTAATGCATATAAATAGTCTGTATCCATGATTTATGCCTCTTTTTTTTCTCCTTTTTCTTTTCTGATACACTTGGAAATGGTTGTCTATAAGTTGTCTATTTCAAATCAACACATTTTAAGAATTCTTTAGAAAGAGAGAAAGAGAGAGAGAGTTGAGAGAATACACTTGCTGAAAGAAAGATATAACTGCAATGGAAAGCAATGAAGAAAGTGCCATAAAACGATATATTAAAAAACAGGGGCGTTGGCCAAACAGTATGGCAAACTGTTTGCTCGCAGTATTCGTAATTGCAAATGTTTTCTTCATGATATCGAGCTGTAATGTCTTTTTCTTTCACAACAACAGTCCAGTCGATGACTGTGTAGGCCTGTTCAAGATTGGGTATGCTGATGATTAAAATAAGTGAGCTAATCGACATTCATAACAGTAACTTGTATAAAGTTCTGAAAGTAGCTAACCAGAAAAAGGTGAAAGAAGTGGTCGAAAATCACAAGCCAAAGCCTTTCGATTCGTTTGAATAGGTAAAAGTAAAAGTGTATTATGTTTTTTATGTTCATCTTTTCGATGTCCTGGTATAATACATGGTGATAGTATAAAATGGATATAAGTGTGTATTTATGATGCAGTAATACCTTTATAATTTTTATTTGGCTCTTAAATTTTTGTAGGAGGTGAATGCATGCAAAGCCTTCCCTTTATTTTTAATAAATGACGCCGCCTCCATATTATACACTCTTGGATCCTCCTGTGCCCACCAAATCAGTATTGTCTGATGTACGTATTAACAAGTCAATCAAGATTAATCATCAGCAAGAATTAGAAAAGTTGAAGGGATTCCTTGATTCATTCAAAGATCAAAAACTGTTTTGGATCGAAGTAACCTTGATAGATCGACTTTACTATAAAAACGTGAATCAGCAAAGACCCTTTCATCGATTCAAGCGATCTATGGAAATAAGAAAACTAGTCAAAAGGCTAAAGGCATTAGCTATTGAAAAGGAACTTGAAAGACTTTATCTATCCTTTTGGAACGCAAAAACGTAACAGATTGTCACTTTTGATATGTTTTTTGTACTTATATAAAATAGGCTAGATAAATGTACAGGAAAGTGGACATTTATACCAAGTAAAGAATCAATTCAGTACACGATGCATAGACTCATAGGGGCAGCTCTGATACTCGATAAGCTAAAGATTGTCCTTGTTGAGACATATAGAGCCAATTCGACATTACTAAAATTAGAGCACTTTGTCTCTTTGGCACTAGTATTTATGGGTATATGTAGTCGGATGTATAGTCTATCTCAGGCCTGGATAAGTCAGATCGAAGGATGTTACCAGCAACTCTATAGCTGGTCAGAGGCATTTCCTACAGGACTGAAGCAAAAGGAATATGATCTGTTTATATCTTCCCATAATCTGGCTTGTACAAGAGACACTATGAAAGAAGCACGTAGTACATTTGCTGAGCAATGGATGACATTAAAAACAAGCATTCATCACAAGACACACCTTGAAACATATTTAGCAAATCAAGCAGTAGTAGACAAGGTGAAAGAGATCCAAAAAGAAATAGGCGTCAAGTCAACGGATCCTTTATCGTTTGACTTTGAAGAAGACTTGGGAGGTAAGTAAAATGAATGACGATGATAACATGGAAATACTTATCATGCTGCATAGAAATTGTTGAACGATAAATTCTGAAAAGTACAAAATAGTCGAATATATACAAACTTGGTATTGCTAATTTGAATAGCCTATTTATAAACATGTGTACAAAAGGACTTCTCTTTCTTCTTTTCTTTTTCATTGTTTGTTAAACGAATCAAGGAATGCGCCTATTTGAAATCGTTTTGAGCTGTGCAAATGATGGTAAACGCACTACACCTGCCACTGATGACAAAAAGAAAGAAAACAAAGAAAGATTCATAACAAAGGGTTATTACAAACATGATTTTAGTGCGCGACTAGATATAAAAACCAAGTTTCCTATTATCACGCTTAGCTTTAAGCATGATAAGGAGTTTATTGAAAAAAAAAAAAAGCTTAATTAAAGGTGAACACTACACGCACTAGAAAATAGGCTAATGTTACAGACATCACTTTACGACCTCACACTACCAGAATCTCTATCTAAGCTAAGGCTGTCCTTTAATGTAAAACACACTTGAATGATTTATTATATTTATTCTTTTCTTTGTCAATTAAACTTGTGCAATATAAAGTTAAAATAGAACAATAACAACATTTCTGTTATCTTTTTCTTCTTGAAAAGAAAACAGGCCAAGATGGCAACTTAATAAATTCGTATTCTACATTAAAGAACATGAAAATACTTCAAGCATTTTGTCTATCATAGGTTGAAGTAATCTGATTCTTGTGTCCTTATCTTCATTTCCATAGGACTTTCTCACGTAACCAATTACTTCATATCCATTTGACTTGAGGTTATTAATGTATTGTTGGAATTTAGATATGTCTTCCTTGATTCCGTTTGCAATATCATCTGAAATAACTTTGAGTGATTGGAATTCCAGAAGGTAAATCGTCGCAGTTTTCTAAGCCATTTTTTAGGTAAACACTTGGTGCACTCAAAAATGCATTAGAAGTTAGACTAATACTACGGGTGCTGCCTCTATTCACTACCTATGATGAAGTCCAACAAAACTATTCAATATGTAGCGTCAAGCTAAACATGAATTTATGAAGTTGCCATCTTGAATTGTCTCTTTTCAAGAAGAAGAAAAAGATAAAAGAGAAATGTTGTTATTTCTTTTAATTTTATGTTGTCAGTTTGATCAACAAAGGTGCAAGAACACATGAAATTATGATGCATTTACATTTTATATCAGAGAGAGTGAACTGAACAGCCTTAGATTAGGCAGAGACTTTAGTAGTGCAAAGCTGTAGTGACAGCATAGGTAGTGTCTCAATTAAGCATCCGTAGCATAAACCTATTTTATGGTACATGTAGTATTGGCCCACATGTTTCTATGCCAGAAAAAAAGAGTGATAAATACGAGATCAGTCAATTAGAAATGAGTGCCTTCCAGGAAAAAAGACTGTCCAACGTCTTTTGAAAACCTTTGAGCTGACCAAACAATATTGGAATTGCCAAACAAACCATTAGTTTTGCCATAAAGATGCCGTTATCATTCATTAAAATGTACATGTGTCCGGCTGTTTCTGTATTAGTCAAAAGTGCCGTGGGTTAAACAAAGGGATGTATTGGTACTGTCTTCACTCACTAATCCAACCCATGGCCATAACATGGTCGCAATCTGCCAGCTTTATCAGCTTAGCAAGAATTTGAGGCACTGGCCCTTAGGTTTTTGATTGCTGCTTTAGAACTAGTGCTGGGCTTGCGTGATGTCTTTTTCATTCTGATGAACTCAATTCAATGTGGAAATTTTGGGTTGAAGTGATGATCATCAAGTCGATTTTGCAACCATAGGACGTGACAATATCACTATCGTCGGTCTGATTCAAGATCATGACATCTTTTGATGATAAAGAGAGGAAGTAGCCACGATCAAGATAAAAATGGTTGTTTTGTTAAATTAGTTCATTATATTGCTATCTGCACCTTGTCACTTACTCCACAAGGCCCACAGGGGAACACCAGAATGGATAGTTAAGTTGGCGTGTAGAACACCATGTAGCGTAGTTCTGCTGTTTAAAGTGGTACTGTCGCCGGGTAGGAGATGCTATGGAAGAAATGATGGCTAAAGCGGAGGAGGACAAAGGAGAGTGTTTCAAACGCTTGGCGAGATGTTCCACGCTAGCATATTCCAACGGAGGTTCTTCTTGAGGAGATGCTCCTCTTGAAGGAGGGTCAGATGGGGTTAGTGTTGTTGTATTTAGCTTTTTTCAATACATTCCGACGCCAACTCATGACCTTCAAGATTTTGAAAACACGTTCCGTATTGATTGTGAGTCAGTAAATCTTGAGCCTATTACTAGTCATTTTAGGCCATCTCCTGCAACAAGAATCTTCTTGGATAGGAAATCTTTAAAAAAGTACAACAAGCATACACCTTCTGTTTTAGATGATCGGAAAATCCAGAGCTTGAGAGTGCTGTAAACTAAAGAGTCGTTACTATTTGGAGGGACGATGTGGCTATGCATCAATAGCATCTTGGTTGTAGTTGCGGCTGCTTGGACATAGGGTCTTGTAACTCGTTTTTCGATTGGTCAGCGAGGGTCGAGGCTTCTCCACTGAAGGGAGACAGGTATGAGTTTGCAAAGAACAATGTAATCTTTATTTAAATGAATCACGTTCAATAAAGCGAGCTTTAAAATCTACTGGCACAGCCATCACTCCGGCTTCGATGTAATTGTCTATGTCAGGATAGAGCTTGTCACCTTCAACGGTGAGGGCTGGTCTAACGTTGCATTGGGACATTAAGTTGATGACCACATCAAAGAGAAGCTTTTCAACCATGTAGACACCAGGACATGCTCTTGACCCCCAGCCAAAGGCAAAGTGATCACGGTTTCGGAGACAGTTTCTGCTTGTTTTATGCATCGGATTGGTGTCATAAAGAAAGCGTTCAGGTACAAATTTTTCAGGTTCAGGATAGTGCGCAGAGTCATTGTGGAGAGCGTGGATGCTACTGAGAAGAATTGCGTCTTTGGGGATAATGAGACCATCGTAGTATACTAAGAACATAAGGTTGTTGTTAAATATAGTTGTGAATGGTGTGTTATATTACCATCTTTTGTAACTTTTCGAGGAGCACTAAACGTAAAGATAGGGCGATACCTAAAGCATTCTTTTTGGAAAGCAGTATAATACCGAAAATTTGATTGATCAACAAACGTAGGAAAATAATTGTTTTGCTTCCAAAATCTAATGAACTCTTGAGAGATATTCGTTTGGGCTTTAGGGTGATGGCAAAGCAAGGCGTAGGTCCAGAGAATACTTGCACACAAGGTCCTGCAGCTAATGAAAACGAACTCCTCTATAAGGCAATAGATTAAAGACTGATGCAAGGTTCTCAAAAAAAAATATATTACCCATTATCTTGTGGATATCATCTTCCTCCATATGGTAATCTTCTCTCATTCTGTCCAGCTGCTTAACGATGTTATGGCTATTGTCTGTTCTTGCTGACTTGACCAATAGTTGAATCAATGGTTGAACTTGCCTACGGTATATCAACTTGGATTCCTTGCTCTTGCTCGGGTTGCTCTTGAGGAAGAATGACCAAGGACAGCCTTGACCTTCGGCTACCGTGGGAGTTGCTGCTAATTTATGGTAACTCTGCAAGACACTCTCAATTCGCTTAAACGTGTCGTCATTCATAGATTCAGCAAAAGGTTTACCAAAGGCAATATAGAGCACAATGTTTACAACCGCAAAACGAACATACAAGCTTGGATTTACACTTCCATGATTTCCCGTTTGAGTGATAAGACTCCTTGTACATCTTTCGATTTCCATCCTTGACATTCCTTCAAAGCTATCACAAAATGCAGGCGAAAGAACATCTCGGAGAGCTGCCTTGAGGTATTTCCATTTTCCTTCGCTACCATTAAAAAAGATGCCACTAAATATAAAAAGATTAGTTTCATTATAACGTATCCTTTGGTTAAACCTTTACCTGCCACAGCCACCATTGACTATACTTCTCCATGCACTATACGAATGAAGTGATGTTTCAACGCTTTTCTTGATAAATATAGCCTCAATCGCTTCCAGATCGCTAACAAAGACCCACTTGTGCTCGCTCGTATTGATTTCAAATAGAGGCCCGTATTGTTGATGCCATTGAGTAATCGTTTGGCTTGGCAGCGTGCTGAATTTTTTGTCTATTACAACAGTTTAGTTGCCTAGGCTTATAACACAACTATCGCTATTAAAATCTTGCCTTGTAATTCCTCGTCATTCAAAGGATTTGGTATCTGACTGTGAACCAAACGGAGCCTCCTTCTTCGTGATCTTATCATTGCCCTCTTGACATATACTGCAGCAACAATGGTAGCAACACTCGCGCTCAAAATGGCAAAATACTTGCCACTTATCCCCATCTTGTAATGTTTCTAAAAAATGATGAAAATAAGAAGGAAGAGACGGATAGACAGAGGGTTTAAATACATGCTTGATGATATATAATACAATGAGTCTTGTCTATTCATGCTTTTAAGCAATATCATTGGAAGATACTCCTTAATAACAATCAAAGATAATAATAAAGCCCAATTCGTCTTTAATGAAGTATACCGTTTATAGTCAGCATATGTCTGATGTGTGAGCTTTTTTTGTTTAGTAGCTAACCTCAAGAACCGCCCTTGAGTCATTAAAAGACAGTTGGTGGCAGACCTTTTTAATAGCACAATTTGATAATGACTTTACTTTATAAAAAATAAGATAAAAAGTTATTTCTTTAATCACTCAATGAAGAAGCAAAATGATCATTCTCTATATAGACTGTAGGCGGAGAAACGCATTGTTACGAGATTATGAAGGGATATGGCTTTAAATAATGCAAAATGATTGGCCAGGATACTTACCCCGGTTTTGAGAGGGGGGTAATAAAGACAAACAGACAGCCCAGAGCGACAAAAAAATTTAAAGTGAACAACGCCCCCCAAATTTTAATTTTCTTTTCCTACTGTGAAAAATGTCTGTCAACCGTATTGTTGCAGCTTCTCGTGCCGCTCAAAAGGCAAATGCAGCTCTCTTCAAGAATGTCGTGAAGCCCATGGCCACCAGAGGTATATAGTTTGTTTTCATTTCACGCTGTTTTTTTATTGACATGATACTATAAGCTTATGCCAGCCAAGCAACCACTACTGGTAAAATTCGGTAAAGACATGCACCCAATAAAACCAACTACATTACTCAATAATTACTTCTAGTTCTGTCATTGGTGCCGTTGTCGATGTTCAATTCGAACAAGAAAACTTGCCTGCCATTTTGAACGCTCTTGAAGTTCAAGATCACGCTGGTGGACGTCTTGTTCTCGAAGTTGCTCAACACTTGGGTGAAAACACTGTCCGTACTATTGCTATGGATGGTACTGAAGGTAAAGTAAAATTGGTGTTTATAGTGGAAAACATATTAAACCGTTACCTCAGGTCTTGTCCGTGGTCAAAAGGTTGTTGACACAGGTGCTCCCATCACTATCCCTGTCGGTAAGGAAGTCCTCGGTCGTATCATCAACGTTATTGGTGAACCTATTGATGAACGTGGTCCCATCAACTCCAAGGCTCAACGTCCCATTCACGCTGATGCTCCCGAATTCGTTGACCAATCCCCCACTCCCGAAATTCTTGAAACTGGTATCAAGGTCGTCGACTTGTTGGCTCCTTATGCTCGTGGTGGTAAGATTGGTCTTTTCGGTGGTGCTGGTGTCGGTAAGACTGTGTTGATTCAAGAATTGATCAACAACATCGCCAAGGCTCACGGTGGTTACTCCATCTTCTGTGGTGTCGGTGAACGTACTCGTGAAGGTAACGATCTTTACCACGAAATGATCCAAACTGGTGTCATCAAGCTCGATGGTGACTCCAAATGTGCTCTTGTCTTTGGCCAAATGAACGAACCCCCTGGAGCTCGTGCCCGTGTTGCCTTGACTGGTTTGACCATTGCTGAATACTTCCGTGACGAAGAAGGTCAAGATGTGTTGCTCTTCATTGATAACATTTTCCGTTTCACTCAAGCTGGTTCTGAAGTATCTGCCCTTTTGGGTCGTATCCCCTCTGCTGTCGGTTACCAACCCACCCTTTCTACTGATATGGGTGGTATGCAAGAACGTATTACAACTACCAAGAACGGTTCCATTACCTCCGTCCAAGCCGTCTACGTCCCTGCTGATGACTTGACCGATCCTGCTCCTGCTACCACTTTCGCTCACTTGGACGCCACCACTGTCTTGTCTCGTTCCATTGCCGAATTGGGTATCTACCCTGCCGTCGATCCTCTTGACTCCAAGTCTCGTATCTTGGATCCTCGTATTGTCGGTGAAGAACACTACAAGGTTGCCACTGAAGTTCAACAAATCCTTCAAAACTACAAGTCTCTTCAAGATATCATTGCCATTTTGGGTATGGATGAATTGTCCGAAGAAGATAAGCTCGTTGTCGAACGTGCTCGTAAGATTCAACGTTTCTTGTCTCAACCTTTCGCTGTTGCCCAAGTTTTCACTGGTTACGAAGGTCGTCTCGTCAAGCTCCAAGACACCATTCGTTCCTTCAAGGAAATCTTGGCTGGTAAGCACGATAACTTGCCTGAAAACGCTTTCTATATGCAAGGTGATATCAATGATGTTCAAAAGCGTGCTGAAGAACTTGCCAAGGAATTGGCTAATCAGTAACTCGCTTAAAATGAATCAGTTAATAGAATGTACTTTGCACACATCTGATTGTCTTTTTGTTCATTGTTTCTTTATTTCGATTTATGTTTAAACAGATTTTTATTTATAAATAATTGAAAACCTCTAATGGGCGCACGATTGTAATATTACATCTTTTCCACCTGAGGCAGTTCAGAAGGAAAGAATAGTGGTAACTAAAAAATCCTTTTGGGGATCAAGGGTAAAAATGTTTTGGAAGGAGTGAATGGGGTCAAGTGTAAGATACACTAGTGAGAAAGAGAAGAGAGGGGCCGTTTTAAGAGTCTTTGCCCGAGGTGGGTGACGAGGTAGACAGAAGCTTAGCGTGATATACAGATTTGTTTTACGGCAGTAACTCTTTCATTACTAAGTCTTTGGAAGTTTGATAAAGAAGTTTTACTCTAGGATCAAGTTGATACTCTAATGAATCCAAAGACAAACTTCCTGCAATAAGATAATAGCCTAAAGCGACAATAGGTTCCAAGGGCGATCGACTTAAGAGTTTATCTATTGAGCTTTGTGAGATTAAAAGACAATCCTTAGCCCAGAACTTAGATTCAATTTTTAAGAATGGGCTTTCATCACTGCAAGAAAACTCTTTCTCTATATCAACACTTAAAAATCCTTTGATTGCAAAGATAAGGGCGATTAGGTGAGTTTTATATCGACAATAGGCTGATGGTGAATGGCCTATGACTCTGTTCATAAAATCACGACTGACTTTATCTTAAAATTCGATTATAATGGGTGGTCTTTCTGCCGTTGGTTTGTCCTTGACCATGTATACAATATCAGACCTACTTTCATTGACCCACTCGTTTGATGCCACCGTATAAATATCTTCTGGGACGTCTGTGCCTACATTGCAATATGTGTGTTAAGAACTAGTACATTTATATTTCAAGTATAAATACCTAGTAGTGATTTTACAACCAAATTCATAACCATGGGATCGTTAAATAATAGCTTGCTCATCAAATCTGAGCCTGGTTTCCAGCTTAAAGACAAATGAAATGAGCTTATATCTTGACAGATAAAAGTTAGTTGACAGTGCGTTTACCAAAACGAAATCAATATTCCATAGGTTTGACTGTATTTGGCTTTGTAATAGAAACAGACAAAGCAAAAGTACGATGAGGTCGTGTGTATCTTTATCCGGAGTAAAGTGAAGAGAAAAAAGAGATGATGGCACAATTTGATTTTTAAGCGCAAACCACTGTAAAAAGACTGCTGATTACTTTTAGAATAATTGTACATACAGTGAAGGTATTTTTTATTATGCGGCAAATAAGTATCATTTTGAAATAATAGACTGATTATCAATATATAATAATCATACTACATCATAGATCGTATCAAAATTTGCCACTCGGTTTGGCAAAACACAAAGTGGTGAATGTTACGAGCGCCACCTGTGATTTCATTTTATAACTTCACACGAAATTATCATAATTACACTTAAGGATCTTGGTTCTTTATTGATCAAACCGACAACGTAAGATTAAATACAGCAATAACAACATTTTGTTTTTTTCTTGAAAAGAAAAACAAATCAAGGTGGGTTCTTTATAAACTCATGTGTACCGTCAAGCTACACGATGAAAAGCTTTGTTGGATGGCATTATAGGTAGTATCTGGAGGTAGTGCATAGAATTGACCTAACTTTTGGTGAATTTTTTCGTACATGTAGTATTTTCCTTCATTTTACTGATCTGAATAAGATATATGAAACGAATCAAATCGACCCTAATGAGGCCATTAAAAGAGTTGTAGAAGAATCTGGCCGTAAGAAGAAGCTAAATATGAAAGCCTGAATAACAGAAATATTTTATAATGATGATGATTTAGTTGATGATAATGGTCAGAGCAAGTTGACGGGGACTCTGATGATTGTGACGAAGATAATAAAGATAATTTTTTTAAACAGTAAGCGCAACGCCAAAGAGCGGTCTTTTAAGATCATCGTCGGCATTTTATACTTTCCTTTTTCCTCCTTTTGTTTATTGATTTTTTCTAAACACGGTCTTTTTTTTTGTGCGCACAAAAGATGTCTCTTTTCTTTTCACTATTTGTCGTTTCTTTTTCTTAAAGACATGATGAAACTATTCAAGAAGAAAAAATCAGATATGAAGTTACCAATGATGGTAAATACCAACCATTTAGTGGCAGATCCTACGCCAATCTATAAGAAAACAACTCATTTGACTGTGATGGATAATGAACAGCCTACTATCGTGATGCCCAAACCAAGAAGAGCTATTACGCCTACAAGGAAGATTTTGACCAGATTTGATAATGACAAGACACAAGTAGAAGAGCAGGAATATTTAGATAGATCATTGTTGTCACTTCCTACACATGAAGGTAACAACATAATAATGCCTATTGTTCGTTTAGTAACCACTGCTCTCCTTCTATTTGATAGTAAAACACATGACTTCTCATGACCTTTCTCAAACAGTAACTGTTGCCAGTGAAGACGATACATCGAGCAGAGTCTATGAATCAGCCCTTGAATCTTTATCACCAGCGTATTATAAAACAATGGCCTCAGGGGCATCAGAGACAACCGAGGAACAACCTTCGACTGCTACTGCAACACCGCGTTATAACAAAGATAATAAAATGGATGAGACACAGATACTGCTACAGGAATTGAAGAACAAGGTACTATTGATGGAACAACAACAGGCGATTGATAGAGCAGAATGGCAGCGAAAGGAGAGAGAATTACTAGAGAACAGAAATAGAATGATGGAAAAGATCATCCAATTGAATTCAGTATTGAAGCAGGATGAACAACGATTATTGCATCAAAGATCAAAATCTGAAGAACGTCTATCGCGTCACAATAGTATTGCATCGAATCATAGTCAATCAACCACTCTTGTCTCAACAGCAGCTCCTCATCATTATCATCAAACGAATAATAGACAGAGATCAAAATCAATTGATAGTTCTTATGCAAGATTAAAGAAATCCGCTTCTAGAGCATCACTTTACTATGAGCAACCAGAGATTTATGATTATGAAGAAGAAGAAGATGATGAAGAATATGATATCGATGATGACGATGATAATTATTGTTACTATAGTACATATTATTATCACAAACCATACCCATACCTATACCAACACAGCCAACGGTCGTATTACCCTATTGTATATTCCCTTTCAAGACAGAGACATAACTATTTGAATTGACATGATTAGGTCCAGTTGTAGGAATCAAGGCAATGTCTTGTTTGCTATCAGTAAAAAAAATAAACTGCAGATAAAGTAAAATGCTCATAAGGATCTCTTTTTTGCTTTATTCATACTATTGCACTTTTGTCCTTCTTTTCTCTAATCTACATAGTATTATCTCGAAGCCAAAATGAGTATCGTCACTAGGGCCATTCTCATTTACGCCTCAATCTTGTGATGCTATCATACCAGGCTTTGGTAATTGTTCATTTTGGTTCATGGTGTGAATTTTTTTTTTGGTAAAGTTGATAAAAGTCCATTATTTATCAAGGCTTTACATTCTCAAACAACCTTTTAAAGATAGCAAACATATACTTTATGATTCCCACATTTTATTAAAGCTTTAGCTCTTCATAATATGATTATTTAGTTCTTTGCGACGCTTATTTGGTACTCGTTCTTCCAACACGATGTCCTTGTCATTTTGTTTTTCTCAGTCCCCACGCATAGGTTTTTGCTTCCTTTGAAGCTCCATTTTCATTTGCACAGCGTCTATATGAGCAAGAGGGACATTAGTTTGCTTACAACGAATTTTCTTGCTACGAGGTGGTGACAGTTTAAGGCCCTCTAGCGACAGTTCATATTCAGTGAATAGTAAATAAGCAGTGTCATCAAGACTCGTGAGGGTGCAAATATGCTCTAAACTTTTCAGAGTTTTCTTAACGTCGGATATGTCAATTTTTGAGTTGTTACATCCATATCGGTTCTTTTCATGAGAAGCCTGTTGCTCTAATTGAGTGATTAAGCCATCCATTTCCTTTGTTTCATAAAAAAAAAAAGAATTAGAGAAAATATACAATATTTGCAATAAGAATAAACTTCTGTTTCTTAATTTTGCTAGATGGTTTTCCTTGAAAATCACAACCGGTATCCAGTCCCTAAAAGTAGTAATAGCCCTTATGGTTGCCTTAAATACCCTTTTGGCATCTTGTGCAGTTAAAGAAGGAGGGTTTGTTGTTAAAGCAGACGTTTCTACAATATTACTTATAGTGATGTTACTAGATAGTATACATGCATCTCTACACTAATTTACCTCGTATTATCCTCATTTTTCTCAACTTGTACTGCAGATGCAAAAGGGTTTTTGAAAACAAAGCCGGAAGTGGTTGGCTGCGTTACTTGATTACTTTTGAAAGAAAAGCCAGAGGTGTCTGTTTGTGCTGTTTAATTATCATTGAAGCGTGCGTGTAGATCACCAAATGAAGGTATCTGAGGATTAGAAGACCAATACCTGTGGTTGGCTGAAAACGACGAGTCTGAGGGAGACAGAAAGCCCATATAACTAGCAGTAGGCGCAGGAAATGCATTCATGGGAGAGGCGATCATATTACCGGTGTGGTCTGTAGGAAATCCTTTTCTACTTTCTTCATTTGATCGATGTGAGTTTTCATGAAGCTTTGGCATAGAAGATCCATTCATTAGACCATTAAGCCCAGAAATGGAGTTCAAGGCATTTCAGGAGTGCGTGCCCAGCAGGTATCCTCTGATTTGTTATTATCGAGTTCCATACCATCCTTATTGTACGTACGGGATACACTGGGTCGGAATGGATTAATATTGTTGCTGTTGAATATATTCATTGTAAAGAGAGAAGTAAAAGGAAAAGATGATAATAAAAAAGATATATTTATAAAAGACGTATTCATTGTTATTCTATCAATGTAATAAAAAAATAGTCATTACTTGATGTAAAGTCTTTATTAAGAAGCTGTCAAAACACATATCCACACTTTGAAATAGACTTTCTTTGAGCTTGTTCTCGACAAGAGGGAAACTTGAACCAAAACATTTCTATAAAGCAATCTGAATTAATTCTTCGTAACAAGAGGCTGTGTTAATCTGGATTGTTATCTTGTTTACATTGTCAATTGTATTAGTGAACATTATGTAAAAAGAAGGTTTCTAAGCATGCACAAAAGGACCATTTCCCTCTTCTTTCATTGTAGATCATCACAGCTTTAATAAAGAGGATCAATAATGAAACGGTGCTGCAGGTAAATATGTGTTGCTTTTTAGTATAGTTTGATCCAAAAAAAGACATCAAATGATTCCCTATACATTTAGTCTATGAAATATAATAATGTGTTTAAATAAGGGGGTAGTTGGCAAATTGACTTTTGGAATACTGAATGAAGGTTGCTTTAATTGTTTCAAGTTAAAACCGTTTGATTCTTGATACATTTTTAAAAGATCTGTCAGACCATTTCAATCGAAACGATTTCCTCTTCAAACAAGCATAATAGTTTTATCAATAATACTTTCACAAAAAGACTGCGTCACTGAAACTAAAGGACTCTAATGCAAAAAGAAACTAAGCGATATCATATGTGTATATAAAAAATATATATTGATATCTGGCGTCAAAGTTGTAATATTCTTTAATACAAGCGTAGAAATACGGCATAGAGTATACGCTTTCTAGAAAGCGAAGTAGCATCAAATGAGAATATATGCCGCATTTCAAGACGTGTTGTTGCATAAGTTTTGGTGTCTTTGTGGGATATATAAATCGCGCCAATATTCTCACCTCAGGTTTTCAAAGCTTTTATCATAATGAGCATTCAATTGGATGGAAAGGGAGTTGTTGTCGACAAGGGAGGTAAGCTCGAGTCTATGGGTTATATTTTTGACGAGAATCAGTATCGTCTGGGGAATATAGAGCTCATATATACAGCATTTGTCTTAACTACCTCAAAAATCTCGAGACAACAGCGAGACTGAAACCATGCATATTGAAAACAATATAAATATTAAGATTGACGTGGCCATAAGAGATAGGCATCCGCAAAACGTAATTATATGCTGTACACAGATGAGGACAAAGTGAGGTTCTTCAAGTTACTTTTCAAGAAGTGACTCAGTGCGTCAGCTACCGCGAAGTATTTGGGAATCTACGCTCATACAGCACAAAGATGGGCTAAACAGTACGATAGAGGTCCTAGTAGAATCTTTGAGAAACGTGGGAAGATCGGTCGTTCTCGTTTCCTCAATGAGGAGCATAAAAATGTCATTCTTGTTTGTGCTGGTGAGAGCCCGTCAGCTGTCCTAGGGCAAGTAATGGAGAAACTAAGAAAGGTATTTACAGGGCTTAAGGTATCCAAAAGTACTACATATGATTTTGTGAAAAGTCATTGCAATCTGTTCCTCAAAAAAGCTCGGTTTCAACCTGTAGATATGAACAGTGAAGAAAAGATCCAAGATTGTCTGGATTGGATTCACAAGTAGGAACAAGCTGATATGGACTTCTTGACCAATTGTGCGTTCCTTGACGAGTCTGCATTTCATATAAACATGAAACGTACAAAGGCTTGGTCTAAAAAAGGCATTCCTGCTATTATTACAGTGCCAACTACGAGAGCAAAGACTATGGCTATATTGGGTGCTATCTCTGCTTCAGGTTTAATTAAAGTAAGCTTGAGAATACCAAGACTGGACAGGAATCCGGATATGTCAGTAGTGGTACTGTTACGGGACATTACATTAGTTTTTTGAAAGACAATTTGGACGAAATGGACAAATATTCACATATGAAAGGTCACTATCTCGTTATGATAACGCCCTATTCATAAGTCTGAAGATATTGCGAAGTGTACTGTCGCGAGGATATCGTTGCGCTTATTTCCTTTTATATTCTCCTGAGCTCAACCCAACTGGACAATTCTGGTCTGTAGCTAAAGGTAAAGTTAAGCGTCATAGATTTCTGGAAAAAGAGACTTTATCGACCAGAATCAGTGGTGCTTGTAACAGCTTGATGTTGAACGATTTCTACGGCTTCGTTTCTCATTCACTTCATTGTTGGGGCAAATGCCGCAACAGAGAGAACATGTAACGTTTCAGGGCTTAATTATTAGCCAAGGGCATCCAATTAGCTTAAGTCATTTCATTACTTCTACAAAGGTAAAAATGACAAGTACGATTAAGAGAATAATTTTATTTGATAATAATTTTTAATGACCGATGAGCACATAGCATCCTCATGCTGTATTGCCCGGGTCAGATCGAAAATGACAAGTACAGTTTTTTAACCTAAATTGAGACGGCTAGACGAAATAAAAAATAAACTGGACATTATACTTTTTTGCTTTGGGACCAATATTTCTAGACATTAGAATTAAAGATGGATTTCATTAACTATAAGTCTGTGATTCAATC